AAATTTATCTTGTAATATAGATAGTATAGAATACATACCTAAGGGTGGTGAAATAAGAATAGCAGTTTTAATCTTGGGATGTACAAATTCTTTAACTATGTTTACAATATCTTCCTCTAAATTATTCTCTGAAACTTGAACAGACGTACGAGTATGTGTTTCGAAAGGTTTTGAGACTACTGGTCGTTTCTTTATATCTTTAACTAACGTTATATGCAGTTGTCTCTGATATTTATTTAAGGAATCGTCAACAATAGGTATTTCTAAGATGGGGTTTTCTTGAGATGTATGTGCGGTAGCAGTTGATGAGTTTATCGGTGATGGCGGTCTGTCTGTAGGGTTCACTATTATAGAGCTGATAGGTGATGGTGGTCTGTGTGTATGGTTATTACTTTCTGAACTTATCTCATTATGTATCTCGACTCTAGACAAAGCATCTGCGTTAGTATTATTTTTGCCTTTTTTATAAATTACTGTATAATCATATTCGCTTAATTTTAAGCGCCAGCGTGTAAGACGGGAATTTGGCTCCTTTAGGCTCATAATCCATTGTAATGGCTTATGGTCCGTAAGGATAAAATCCTTACGAACTTTCGTCCGAACAAATAAGGTCTGAAATATTTTGTTGCCCAAACTATGGCTAAAAGCTCTTTTTCATTAGTACTATAATTTATTTCACTTTCATTAAGTATACGAGATGCATATGAGATAGGTTTATCTGAACCAATTGGTCCTTGTGAAAGAATAGCGCCAATAGCAAAATTAGAAGCATCTGTGGTTAGGATAAAATCTCTATTAAAATCTGGGTACTGCAAGATGGGATCATTGGTTAAAAGTGTTTTACATTTTTCAAAGCAGTTTACGTATTCAGAGTCTAGAATAACTTTCCTTCCTTTTTTAAGACATTGTGTTAGTGGTTTAGTTACACGAGCGAAGTCAGGGATGAATTTACGATAATATCCAAGTAAACCTAAGAATTGTTTAATTTCTTTTGGAGTTTTGGGTATTGGATATTTTTTTATTACTGTTACCTTATCGGGATTTGGTTTTATTCCTTCTCTAGAGATAATGTGTCCCAAATATGCAGTTTCCAATTTTAGAAATTCCGATTTATCCATTTGGATTTTGAAGTTTGATTCTCGGAGACGTTGAAATACCTTTTCTAAATTAATTATATGTTCTTGTAAGCTGGTGCTGAATATGATAATGTTATCTAAATATACTAAACATAAAACATTCTGAAGGCCACGTAAAACATTGTCCATAACTCTCTGAAACGTTGAAGGAGAATTTTTCAACCCCATGGGCATACGTAAGAATTCAAAGTGCCCATGTTCAACATTAAAAGCGGTCTCTTGAATGTCATTAGGCTCCATTTCGACCTGATAGAACCCACTAGCTAGGTTTAAGGTGGTAAAATATTGGCACTTGCCAAGCTTGTCAAGTACGTCAGCTATATTTGGAATGGTGTATTTATCATCTATGGTTTTATCATTCAGCTTCCGAAAATCAACTACAATACGCCATTTTTGTATGCCAGCTGCATCTGCCTTTTTTGGAACAATCCAAATAGGCGAGCTCCAGGCGGAATCTGAAGGTCTAATGATTCCTTGTGTAAGCATTTTATCGATTTGGTCACTGACTTCCTGTCGGTGAACAAATGGATAGCGATAGTTCTTTGCATAAATTGGAATTTCATCCGTTGTCTTTATTTGATGTTTAATTCTATTGGTAAAAGTGAGAGGCTCTCCATCTAAATAGAATATATCTGCATATTTGGAACATATTGAAGTTAAATTGGCTTTTTCCTCAGGGTTAAGGTGATCGGTACGGAGACGAGATAAAACGTCCTGCACGCGATTATTAGAATATACAGTGGAATTACATTCAACATTAAAAATACTAGCTTGAACTGGATGATCTAAGGATAATATGATATCATTATTAGTAAAATTTGCGATCTCAACTACACCACGGTTGTTAGTAACAGTTGTTAAGCACTCATGAACTAAGCAATTACATAAAGTCTGTTCCGGGACTATGACTTCACCACCTTGAGTATTTATAGGTATTTTGATTAATTTAGAACTATTTGCTGGTATTATATCCTCATACAGGTTGACATTCCTTGCATTAAAAAGCTTGATTGGATTTATAGCGTACTTAGTTGTAAGGGTTAAATTTTTTAAGTCTATCTTTGCTTCCCACTTGGTAAGTAAATCTAGACCTATAAGTCCATCAAAATGATTGTGAAATCTGTACACAAATAATTTAATTTTATCACTGTCTTGAAATTCTGTAAAACTAGGTAGAGTAATAGAATAATTATTTCTCGTGGTGGCGTGTACGTTTGTCACTTCAAAGGGGTCATAATTTAATATAATATGGGGGAAAAACTGTTCGACTGCTTCTGGACTGATAAAAGATTGATTAGCTCCGGTGTCAATTAATAATTTTAATGGTGGATTATTAATACTTATATATGGCAATTGACGTTGTGTTTGCAAGTTAATTTCTATATGGGCTTTTTTGATTTCATATCCTTCTGAAAATTTTCACTGTCACAATTACTGGTAGACGGCTCAGGCTCATCCTGTTGGTCTATCTCATTTATCTCAATAGGCATGTCAAACCGATGTGAATAGTCTGAATAAATAGGGTATTCATTAAAATAATCGTATGGATCAGAATAACTATAATCACTTTCATAATATTCCGGGAAACAATAATTATTATCATAAAAATTTGCACACTCATTAAAATTAACGTCGCGCGATTTAAAATAGTTTGACGGTGGAGGGTTGCCGAACTTACGCCAATCATGACCGGCTGGTGGCAATATTTTCGGTGCGAAATTACTCACGCCGCTCATAGGTTTCGGGGTAGACATGGCTTGTGGCAGATTACGTGGTGGTAATCTTAACATGTTACTATTCTGGTTATAATTAGGCGGTGGCGCACGGAACATTTGTTGCGTACGCGACGGCATTCTGAACTGTGATTGATTATGCATCCTAATCGGAGGTGGTAAATTAGTTACATTGCCATGAGAAGGTTGTTGGTTATTATTAAATTTAAATGAATTAAACTGCGCGGGTCTTTGTAATATAGGCATAAAACTTGGCGATGTATTATAATTAATAGGCATAGTCTTAGAGCTAGGGTTAGTACTTGTATGCGGTTTCTGTGAAGTGTCATTACGTTGCTGGGTATATATAATATTTAATTCATCTTGAACATACTGTAAGGCTTTTTCTATCGTGTCTGGTCTCATACACCTTATACGAGATCCTAGTGGCTCCTTAAGACCACGGAGAAAAGCTTGTAGAGTTAATTTTTTATATAAGTCACGTTTAGCCATGATAGTAGTTTCTATGGACTCGTGTAAAGTTATATAGGTCATCACGGTGTTAAAAAGGATTTGACATCTATCATAAAATTCCTGAGGCGTATTCTGGCCTTGGGACTGTAATGCAATATCATTATATAACGCGGTCTCGTCGCCCTGGTCAGAAAAATTATTAATAAGTGCATTCCTGATACCTAACCAATTTTCAGGAATACCATTTGAGTTTATGAGTCTAGCTGCATTACCTACTATTTTATTTAATATGCCGTTAAGCAACGATAAATTATTTAGGTCGCTGCCTGGCCCTTGGACTAGGTAAGACGACACCAACTGATCGCATAACTTAATAAAACGCGGAAGTACATTAGGGTTGCCGTCAAAATCAGGCACTACACGTAAGGCTTTAAAAATCTTATCCGGATCGTATTCCATTTCTAAAAAACTTATATTACGTAATTTATCGACTACACTGGCCCGATGAGACTGTTGCGATACAGCCTTCGGGGTCCCCGAGGTTCTGGGATGGAAAATTGTGAAAAATATCTAGGAACTAAAAGGAAAGCAACACGAGATAATTCTGTGCAACTCACATATATATTTCCGGTTTTTCTTTGTGCAGCATTGATGTCTGGATACTTCCTGGGGCTGGACTCGTAGTTCTGGATACTCGGCTACGGCTTGGGAACCGATTAGCGACACGTATAACGATTGCGATAAAAGTCTTTTCGCGCACTAACCCGAGTATCCTACCGACTGCGCCAATTACGTGCGTCGCAGCCGCAGGAGTTAAAAAAAACCGAAATTATTTTAATATATTTAATTAAAAATAAAATATTACAAACTAAAATATGACTATAACTATCTTCGGACGAAGTTGGTACCGAATTGAATTAAATTGACAAATACTGAGCCGCGGAAACACTCATTAAGATGTCCAGCGCGGTGGCTCAACGAAGATATGAGGTGCTGATTCGTCATTTCGAAGTACGGGCACAAGTACAAGGCCGTGCTCCTCATCAGCAATTTCCTTATTAGCAACAGCTATAACAAACCCAATTTATATTACACCGTTCGTATACTATACATAGTTGCAATAATTGCTCACCGGAAGGATTTGCATGTTCGTAAATTATGTCTAATAGACCGGTAGTGCAATAACTATAATAATAGATCTAATGTAATATGGACTGTAATGATCACTACTTATTTGGTCAGCTACTAATCCATTTATGAAACGAATGTCCCAGAAAGACGGTCACTGTTAACATATAACAATAATGACTTACTGTGGTATAAATATTTATATGATAATATGTGAAGCAAAAAGTTTGTAGCCCTTTTTAAGAAAATGAACGGAGGAGTACGAAAACTCCCTCACTTATATTTTATATAGAGAAAGGGTGCAGAATGCTAATATATATTTTTTTAATTATGCATATAATTTATTCAAACACCAAAAAAGACATTATCACACATATGCACCATGTATTTGACACACATACGCATTAAATTGAGAACTATCATTTAAATTAATTATAATTGAATTTCGACAATTGGGCGACCACTAAAATTAACAGTAATAGTTATTATATGCATTAACATAGCTATTAAGGTAAGCAGACTTTTGTGAAAACATAAAAATAGCTCTTACCGAATTAACAGAGAAGGTGCGTAGCAATCCGTGTTCGTCGAGTGCTTGCACGGCGACAATGCAGGCGCCGCAGCCGCCCTCCTTGCACATGTACTTGGTGCCGCGCAGGTTCAAGGTCTCGCGGAGATAGTCATTCAGAGATACATCCGAATCCACCTCCGAACCCACTGTCACACAGAGCCATTAAATATTGTCAATAATATTTTGTGTTGACACAGATAGATATCACCTCATCGTTAAAAGTAAGACCTCATTCAAGTTCAAACCCAAATCTCTCTCCATATCAATAGCTGAATATACATCAATATAAGCTTAAGAGGACTATTACAAAATGATGTCGCTCAACTTTAGGTTTAATCTCATGGATTTACGCATTGTGTGTGTAATACACGCACACAGACGCAAATAATCGTGTAGCGCAATCGGTGTGGATTTAGTATGAACCATTTCGATCCTTGTAATATTTTAATTAATAATGTGATATGTTTTTACTTAACTGAGTAACATAAACTACTTATTATTGAATTTTTAATTATCAAAGTGCTAATAATGACCATATTTTTATATTATATTATTCCTAGAGGGTTGATGTCAGGATGCTGGCCGATTGTACAACTAAAAGCCAAAACCTATCATGGGGGAAACAATATGGTGATATGAACATGGTACTGCTCATGTCTATAGGCGACGGTTACCCCTTTCCATCAGGAGATCCGTCAGCTTGTTTGCCATTATAAGTTGTACAAAAAGAGTTTCAACTGCTATCATTGCTGTTCATTGACAGTCGCCACATGATATTGGCTGATGTTGCAACTTCTCCTTCTTGGTTGGACGAATCTTGATTCTTGATAAATAATTACGTGTTAATATTAAAACTTTTTATTAATTATTACAAGACGTCTCATTGATTATATGAAATCACCATGAGCTATAGAGACTTTGGACAGAACCTTAAAGACCTTAGAAACACCTCTGCTCTCATTGGCGGGATTACTTTTATACTTTTGCTGAGATTTCTGACAGACTTTCTCTGTCATTTATATCGTCTGCCCTATGGACTTCAATTGAAAGTTTAAAACTACTGACAAATATGAGAGCTCATCTTCATGGAAACACAGATAGTGATTTCCCATACTAACTGCTCAAACTTGAGGAAGGAATTTTTCCTACTCCAAATTTAAACAGAAATTGTGATATCTTTCTGGATGAGTCCCTAGGTCAAATCGTCCATAATTTAGAAATTTTGATAGATGCTGTATACCCTTACATCCAGAATTAGCACGAAAAAGGCTTTCATTGGTTGTGTTGGGAATGGAATGGAACCTAGGAATGATACTATCAACGAAATAATTTCACTGCCATATTTCGCCCTCCAACTAAACCACAGCTTACAATATAAACTGCCTGGCAGCTGAAATAGGTGAGGTACCCATGAATTTGAACAAAGTCTGAGTTTAGTACAAATTTATAAGACCATAAATATGACACTTATTTTCATAAAACCATAAAGACAATTCTGAATTTTTAGCTTCAGTTTCGCCGTTACAGATGTTGTCAACATAAAATTTAGTAAACTAGTAAGTTACTAATGCATATCTATAATGAAGAAATTTTAATGAATAATAGATACATACAATTTAAACATTACTCACCTGAATACTTTTGTCCATTAACACCAAACGTTATTTTATCAGACATGTTTAACGGTTGTAAGAGCCTACGTCTGGATCTTGGCTATTTAATGACTGTAAATAGGAGACCGGAGGTCGATTTGATTCTTAGTTGTAGAATAGTGAATGTTTAGACCGAACAATTAATAATAACGTAAAGGTACGCCAATTACAAGTACAGTTGTATGAAATAAAATTGTAGTAGCTGACTATGTGTATTTTTTAGAATGTTTTCGGAAACATAATATGACACTCAGGAATAGTGTAGCTTCCTAATGGTGAAAGAATTTTTCAAAGCGGTCCAGAAGGTTCAGAGCCTATTCAATACAAACAAACAAACTTTTCCCCTTTATAATATTAAGTATAGATATAATGTACAACTACAAAACATACTCTAGTTTTACAAATTTACTATGAATTCAGTAATATGCCGAGAGCACAAAATATTTTGCAGAGTGGATCACGAATTTGTTTCTTTGTAGCAATTCAAGTGTTTTATAAGTGTCTATCATTAAGAGTATCAATAACTACTTGACAATTTTTAATATGAATTTCGATCTTTATTTAATATGAATTTAATTATGTCTGACGTCTAAACTTCTCGAAAAAGTTTATTGATTCGAAAGAAGAAAAATTTTAAGTCTTGATCTGATAAATTAAACTTTTGTTTACTTTATTGATTCCTATTATTTAACATTTTCAATTTTTAAGAATTCATTGAATTATTCGATTAATGCAAATTCGGTACTTTACTGATAGATATCTCTTTAAAGTGGATCGACAATTTGCACAATATACTATTATATTTACATAGGAGTTCATATTTACATACTTATATATAATTACAGAATGAAATTTTCCAGAATGGAAACGTTTAAACTAAAAAAACGCACTGTTTGTGCATTAATTTACATTATGTATGTTATAATGTTGCATGCCGCCTATATACAGCGATGCTGAAATTCTTATTAATAAGCATAGATATAACAACCGCAGAAACCTAAAGCTTGCACTATCGGTAAGAGAATTAAATACATATGTTTTTTAAGAACACAGTGAATTTAATTATTGTAACCATTTAAAAGGAGACAAACCAAATATTTAGGTATTGCCCCAATTCTAAAGTGTTAGCATGAAATATGTATGTACAAGCTAATTTAGACATAACCACCAACCAATAATGCAAGAATACTGACAATGTTGTATGTATATTAGTTAAATTTAATGAATACGTTTATTGCGATACGTACAAGGTATTAAATAGCTGTATTACAGTGATTCAGTATGTATTTGTAATGATCGAATGCTTATTGTTATCCAATTAACTCCGACAATTCTTAATAGGAATTACAATAAATGACTACTTTTCACAGTAATATTATTCTAAATTATACTTTTTAGGAGTATTGTTAGCGTTATCTACTACTATTTAACTATAAAGCTGTCTTAATGTAATTATTTTATAAATAATGTACACTAACATTGAGCACTATTTGATATACTAAAATGACAATATAACATTCCTCATGTTATATTGTCATTTTTTTGTCTGTATTCTGCTTTACTTTTAATGCGTACAATTAGACTTCTTCAGTCGTTCATTCTTGGCAGAGTGGTCGCGGCTATCATGATAACACCTCTTCATTCTGATTTCTATCTGGGCAGACAATTATACTATTCCTTCTTAAACACCGTCTCTCCATAATTATATTTACTACCTTTCCAACTACCAATCAAAATACAGTTGTTCGCTCATAAACATAATTATCATATTACATTTTATTGTGATATCGTAAATAGAATATTTTACTGTACTTTTCTATTCTAATTAGTAATAGTTCTAGTTCCTTGTAACGTAATTAGTATAAATTAGTTTTTAGTATATAGTAACATACATACTAAAAAACTAATTTATACTAATTACGTTACAAAGAACTAGACCTCTTCTTCCTATTTTGATTGAGATTTGTAGATGTATATATCTATATTATATGTAGTATATTATAATTAATACGTATAAGCAAATATTACTTAGAATGCTCATACTCATAACATACTCTCCTATCTGATAGAAATCCTATCTGAATTTTTTACATCTACTACTCTATTTTCGTGTTTCCAAATACTTTGGTACTAAAATGTATTATAGTAATTAATAATTTTAAGTATTACAAATATAAGCTCTTAGTCATGTTAATCATTTGTGAAAAAAGTAAATTTTGAGATCACTATATGCATCCATAGCGTATTGATTAAACTCACAGACTTTCAGGCGCCGAAAACCACAAAGATCAGCTGACGCAGTGGTGTAATGTTCATTGGCAATGTACACAAATAAAAAAATTAATTGTCTGTTTGTAATTCAAATTTTAGGGCTTCTCACTAAATGTATATGAAGGTATAAACGGTACTTAGAAAAAAATTACTATTTAAAAAAGTTTATGTTATTAAATAATTTTGTCGAACCTTTTCAATGAATAGATACGTTTGTCTGATAATGAAAAAACCGACATATACACAAGTAAACACTTCACGTACATACTTATTTCTTATTATTATACATACATACAATATAATCATTTTGTTTTCTTATGATTGATCGCCGTACTACGCTTGTTAAATTTCTTTGACTTCCATGATAAAGGCACAGCCTAGATACAACCTTAGATATACTGTACCGTAGGTTAAATTTACAGATCTATAAACTTATGTTTTAAATAATGAAATATTTCGTGAAATGCAGTCATTACTTTTTGTCTATTACTGAAAGACATTTTTTCTGTCAATTAATAAACGACAGTAATTATTTTATTGAACTAATTGCGACATAAAACGAAAGAAAAATTATTACAATGAATTAAATACAACAATATTATTTTTATAGTAAACTATAATGTTTCTACCATGTAAGTGGTATTGAATTTAAAAATATTGTAAAAATGTATTATAAGTGTAAAAATGGAAAACACATCTACAATATTTTTGAAATAGTCTTTGACACACCCTACTGTTACACAGTCTCCATCCCTCGTTAGATTCATCCGAACAGTTGGAAGCTTTGCATTATAGATATACATTCCATTGTGTGTTTAGAAATATTTTAAATAGTATAACAAACATTTGGTGAGTCATCAATATAATATCGTGACTTTAAAAAATATATATAAAGTGGTTTTGTTTTATATAGGAGTATTATCAACAATATTATGTAATATTTTCTTATCTGTGATATTATACTGTGGTTAATTCTTTTTGATTTTACAATAATGTTCGAAATAGTTTTTGATGAAGACTCATTAATGTTCTATCCTTTATCGTGATCCATAAAAAGGTATTTATTGGAACTCTGAATAAGAAGCATAATGCCACAGCTACAATGGACACAGTAAAACCCCGGGGCACTATTCTGTGAATACCTAGATATTAAATAAGCTGAAGTAACCACCTGACAAAAAATTGCGAATGTCGCCTACATAAACGAACAGTAACGAAACATCACGTTGATAAGTAGTTCTATGTACCTAGGAAATATTGCCAGGAACAAAGCCTACCTTAGTGAAAAAAATAAACGATTAACAATTTTTTCTATATATTTCAATAAAAATATTGATCTATTACAGGAATTAGTAAAATATGGGTCTACCTCAACTAGAGACATGCTGTTTTGTTTTCGATTTGAAAACTGGTAACTTGATTATTGGCGGTATCAATGCGGTATGTACCTGTAATGTTATTTATTAATTAACTTTATTAATTTAGATTTATACAAGTACACAATTATCAATCAATCAATTTGTATGACTCAGCTATGGAATACACTCGAATACACTCCCTTTATATATTTAAGAAAGTCCCTCTATCAGCTCATTCAAGAAAAAGTTAAAACCGTACTACCTTCTACCTACTACATGATTAGTTTCATCATTGAATTCCTATTTGTAGTATTTTTGTTCATATTTATGGATATTTGTTTAATATATCATTCTATAATCTTTAGGTATTTATTAATGTATTATTATTTGTATTGGTATATGTTGTACTGGACTTTAATTCTTTAATTTTAGTTTGAAGTACCTAGTTATTTTACTTTTGTTTTTTCTTACATTTATTATTTAGGTAACCTTCTGCGATCCACATCCCATGTCCTGTATCACACTGTTTTAGGTAGACTGGAGGATATTTCTATAAGATATGTAAGATAAGTCCTCCTTTGCTCACGAAATTTCTAATATGTAGTCCAATTTTTTTAATTTAAAAGTGTAATAAAGAATATATATAAATAATTTTCTAAAATAATATGTCATGTCATTACTTTAGTAATAGTATGATATAAATAGCTATGTATAATGGCTAATTAATTAATGGGTCTATAATAATTTAAAGTGTAAATGAGACTTATCTATGTATGTAACAGGAAATCAAATGAATCCGAGTATACTGTTTAATTATTTTACTTATGATATGTGTATATGTTTATTTTTACAAATTTGAATTTAGATTTTACAATATTGTTCAGTCCTATTAAAAAAAACCTTATAGAAGGTTTACAGAGCCCTTTTGCTAAAGAATATTAGCAGTGATTACTGCTAATATTCTTTAGCAAAAGGGCTTATGATTATGATTCTGATTGTGGTGACCAGCTATAACATGAACGAACACTCCTTCTACTAATAATACTTTTTAGGTTTGAAAATAATTGACGTAATATATAGAGGACAACCAAATTAATACCCGCTCTTATTTATTTTTGGTGTCATAAGAGCAAAAGAGCTCACAAAAAAATTACTTCAATCGCATATTAATCATAGCTCAAACATTACTGGTCAGTTCTTAAATAGTCTATGGAACCACATGAAAAGTACTAATTTTCAAATAAAAAAATATATCAAAGTCGGTAAATAAAGAGAGTAGGTACAGGTACTAAAGTAAAGGATATATAGTCCAAATCAGAAAATCCTTTTTTTTGGTAAACTATGTGTTATGTTTCAGTTCTTCTCATTCGTGTTACTGGTAATAATGATTGTAACTGCAGCCACATTGGGTGCAATCCAAAATACGGGAGACCCAGAGATAGACGCAGAATTGACCGGAGGTTATGTTCTATGCATCATACTCGCTCTCATGCTCTTAGCTAAATTTGCACTGGATTTCATATTCATTTTCGGTGTTGTAACGGTGAGATATCTGTTATTTTATATCAATAATAACATAAACAATAATGTTATATCATAGATAGTATAAGTTGTATGAATCTCGTTGGTGGCTTATATTCACACAATATTACTTATATTATGTATGTGACTTAAAATTTTATATAACATCTTATAAGCTTGTGATTTTTACCCTTTGATGTTTTATACTCTTTCATGCAATACTGGACGGATTGAAATTATATTTTGTATATTGATAAATTGTATATTTTCCGTTTGGCAACTACTTTCATTGGAAACATCAATTAAAATGCTTCTATTTTGAATTCCTCAGGAACTATTACTATTGAAATTTATAAATTCTAAGCCGTTGTTCCGGAGATTAGCGTGTTCAAATATCCAAACAAAAAATCTCTTCAGCTTTATAATATTAATTATGCACAAATCACTTTTTACCTGATTTCACGGCCTCGGTGGCCTAGCGATTTAGCACACCGCCTTACTTCCAATAGTCGTTGGTTGGATTCTCGCGAACTTCATGAGTATGATTATTTGGACTGGGTGTTTTCGTACCTATATTATGTATGCATTTACAAATAAAAACGTATTTATGAGTATTTTTATCAGTTGTCTAGTACCAATGGCTATGTTTGGCTAGGATCTAGATGGCTCTGTGTTAATTGTTCAGGGTTATTACTATAATTCGCACGATAAACGTCTCGGGGTACAGCCAGTGTGATATAATTATTTACCTGTTTCATTGTTTGCAGGAACGAGCTCCAATTATAAAATTGTATTTCATAGTATGGATCGTGTTCTTTATACTATCAATGTTCGTATATTTTTTGAACATCACACATTTCAATTATGGTATCACTTGTACACAAATATTTTATATGGGTAAGTGCCATTTTTTGTTTTTTTAGCTTGTGCTTCTGTTGTCGAGAACCATTAGAAATTAGCCTGTGGGAAATATATGTAGATGAAGTTTTTTGCATATCCAAAGATACACAAAATCAAACCGATTTTGTGTACTTGTTTGTAAGTACTTGACTAAGTAAACTAAGTACTAAAACTAACTTTATAATTTAAGTGGAGAAAGACATGTCACTAGTCTCTACTTAGCATAAAATTATTCGTGTCAAGACCAGATTAACTACCAATATTGTATTAAACTAAATTTCTGCTTGCTTATATATATATAATTTCATTTTTATTACAGTAAATAACCAAGTATATTATTTTTCAGGTCTCAACGTATATACAATTCTGCTTAGTCAAAGTTTCTACAGACAGTTGAACAGTCGGGAGGAAGTATAAATAATAAACTGAATGTGGTATATTGGATGGATTATAATAACAGAGCCTTATTGAAACAATAACATTATAATCAATCGATTCATAATACCATAACATACGATATGACTTATACAGTATTTTATATCAGTAAAGTTATTTAAATGTAGATTACCTAATGCAACTGTAATAAGTTTTAAATTAATTTCTTTCGACAGGAAAAATATTCACACATCCATTTATTTTAATATTTATTAATTTATTAAATACTTTTTATAACTATGTAAGTATTAAAATTTGGTCAACTTATTTTGTTTCGTGTTCTGGAAGGATCTGGAAATTTCTGGATCTGGAAGTCTTCATGGTGATTCAGGCGTCGGCACAGCTTCTGACAACTGTGTTAGACTAACACAAATTCCTAGTAATGTGTTTTTTTTTTAATTTTTAACAATGCCATTATTTACTGGATTTGAAAATTATAATTTACTGTATTCTAACTTATATATCAACAATTAAGTATTTAGTACCAGTTAAGTTAAAAATTTATTATTTTAATTAATTACAATAATGACTAAAACAATAACAAATATATGCCTTTAACTATTATATAAAAATTGTAGAGATATTATATTTACAAAAATATATTATATTCCAATGTTGCAATAAAGTTATTGTATATATATATTGTTTACTCATAGTATTTGTTATACGAATGTTGATGTTGTTGGCATAATATAAAATTATTATTACAAACAAATTGTATAGTGCATAATATTATATTTACTTATTGTTGAACAGTACAAATAATATTAACAATGTATATAAATATGTTGCAAATTTTATTAATTTAAATATAGAGGAAGCCTATACCTACATCTTAAAAATCATATATTATAGATATCAAGTTATTCTTTAAAGTGCATTCATCGAAGTATTAATTACAAAGACCATTGCCACTTATTTTATAAATACTAAGCTAATTAAAAACACGGGTCTATAATTCTTGTAATGTTGGTGTTTTAATTATTGTAATAATTTCAGTTTTTTTTTACCTTTTACAATGAAAAGAAAAACCAATTTTGTCATTTTCACTATAAATGAGTCAACAGTAACTAAATTTATTACTTTTAAATTAATAGCATTGCTACTATAGTATTTCAAAGATAACGTTGTGATAGACTGACAGATATAGAGCTTTATACCTACACAAAATGGCAATGTTCCGATTGTCTTTTTGATTCGAAACAGTAACGTTAAGCGTTCATAAGAGACATATTTGTTCTTAATATAGTTTTTAAAACTTATTGTCATTTTTCCTCATGACATTCTATCCATATGGACTGTTGGTTATAAATACTTTATTTTACTGAATTAAATATGTTGCCTGAAATGTGGCTACTGTTTTACTATTATACTTATATTAATTATTTAGAACTACGATACAGGTAAATTAGTGTGCATATAAATACGTTATCGTATTATTTAACTCGTATATTATGTAATTATTAATAAATCTATTGTTTTAACGACCTCAGTGATATAGTAGGTTAGCATACCGCTTTACGTCCTATGGTCGCGGGTTCAATTCCTCACGCGTTACATTTGTATTCATAATTATGATTGTTTGGGTCTCGGTGTTTTCTATGTATCTTATGTATATTTTTATTTACCAAAAAATGTATCAGTAGTCTAGTTGGGTACTAGACTACTGATACATTTTTTGGTAAATAAAAATATAATATCAACAAGGTCAGTTTATATGTGACTAGATGGCGCTGTGTGAATTGTCCAAGGACATTATTATTATTATGTTTCTAACTTTGATGTAAGTACCTAAGAAAAAACCTTGCTATTTTCTAACGCTAAATGTAATCACTATCATTACTATGCTTTTAGATCTATAAACATATATGTATATAGGAATACATAAATAAATAATATATTCGTATTAAAAAAAACAAGTTAATGAAATGAAACTTTATACCCATGTTATGTAAGAGTGGAATTGTTCTGAGTTAATAAAACAATATTTATTAATAATAATTACTTATTTATTAACTCTACTATTAATACCAACATGCCGAGACTGCATCTCCATATTAAGACTAGTACCATAGAATGACTAGACATCTTCTTGGAATTACAAAAAGAATATGATCTAATATGTTTCAATTAAAATAATTATTATGCAGCCCTGTGGACCCACCGCAGCGTTTCAGGACCAACTATAATGTAATGACATTACAGAGATATATCAAACACCTCATAATATACTACGCAGACATATACAATGCATTTTGTATAAATAGACAGTCTCTACTAGCAGAAGACACATAATTTCCTTCCCGTCAAATTCCGTTTTTGGCAAATTTTTAGAGTGTTTATTTAGAGTTTAGATGGGTTTATGGTCTTCAGTGGTCGACCATAGGTTCAGAACTACGAGGTGTAGAAGAAGGAGAACAGAGCAGGATGACGTAAAATAACCTCAAAACATATGTAAAAAAATTGTTTATTCTTAAAAATATATAACTACTATAATGTTCAGTAGTTCAACGACGTCATCTTTGGTGCCAATATAATACAGTATATATATTTAACATCTTATCAATCTAGTAGACTATAATTACATAGACTGACTGAATTTGTGTAAGTTTATATAAATCTGCGTTGTTATAATTTCTGCAGATCAATAACCGTAACGTCTAACAAAGTTCAATTTGTATAAAAATATAAAGCAATATTGCATTTAAGTGTAATTAAAGCAATTAGTAATTACCGTTTATACTCTTTAACAATTATTATCATAAGATATCGATTCTACAATTTTTATTATAACTTTATTTCTAACAAATTACATACATGAAGTATTTTTGTTTACAACTAAAACATCGATATGAGTATCTAATAAATTATGTTCGTATAAGAAATCACTTGAAATTTAATTTGAAATTTAAATTGCTATTTTTCCAGGAAAGCCTATTTTTGACCTTTCTCCTTATAAACCATGAGTTACATATATCTACGCGGTTTTTTCGGTAATTTTGCTATTGCTATTTGCTATAAATTAATATTGAATAAGAAATTTATTTCCATGTCAGAGGACCTCTAGAATATCATTAAGTAGTCATTAAGCGTACGTGTTTGATCGTGACAATGCGGTTTATACATAGAGGAAGCTATATAGACTAACTATATATAAATAATGATACAGTCCAGACACAGAAAATTAGCAGTGCAATTATTATATAGGTAAATTCGAACTTACAAAATATTTGCTACATACATCACTTATTTACTATATTATATTGTACAATATTCAATAATTATATCTAATAATAACATGCAATAGATTTTGGGAGCAACTTCTCTAAATCGAGTCTTCCAATAAATTCTGTTTATTATTATTAATAATTTTACCTCGTTGCATTAAATCGTAAACGTTGTAAATTGTGACCAGGGCTCTGATGTATACCACTAGAAGGGAGATTAGGAATTATTACAAGCAAGTAAACTGATTGTCTACCTAATAGCAAACGGCAATCGTAAATTAGCTATTATTAAACTACCTGCCCGCCCCGAATTTGCAAGGGGGTTCATGTGTTATATTTACATACATTGCTCTTGAATCACTCTATTTCTGAAATTGCATTAAAATCCGTTGCATAGTTTAAAAGATCTAAGCGAATAGACAGTGGGAGTGACTTTGTTTTATATTTATAAAGATGAACGGGCGTATGACGTATAAGAGGAGATACCACCCATGCTTTGCCATTCTGGAGACTTAGATATTATGTCTCCGTATCCTATAATTTTAAAATGCCACCTTCACCCGAAACACAGACAGCTTACAAAGCAAGCTATTTCGCGGATGATATATGTTAAGACAGAGATTTTGTACTCATGCTATTATGTACTGATTCTAAAATTTATATCAATCGGAGTTTCGAAATGTAAATTTACTTTTTTCTGTGTATTTTGTAAGACTCTATATATTAATGAAATATATCAATTATGTTTTAATTTTAATAGGTTTGTTGGTTTAAAACTTACGTGACAAAATAATCTCCGTTACAGCGATAATCCAATGCTGATGCAACAACAATAACAGAGCGCAAAGGTTAAACGCAATCACAACAAATATCCCATACACGAAGTAACTCAGCACAAATCCTATGTAATTCTGAAAAGTAGAATATTATTATTATTTAATATTATTTATTTATATATTCTCTATATCGATACTGATATTATAAAGAAATGAAGAATATGAGCGTTATTTTATTTCAGTACTTTTCATTGAGACGTCATAGATCTGAATTTACAAAATGTTTGTTTCCATTACTACCTCTTACTAAGTGTAATAATATTTTTTTGTATAAATGGAATGCCAAACAATGGCACCGATCATGAATGGTAACCGTCATTTTATATTACTTTAGATAATCACACTGACTAATACATTTATTAGATAATAATAATGAAGTTGTAAATCAAATAAAATAGAATACCTTCAATACTCCTATAATAAGGGACCCTGAAAATATCATCCAGAGAGAAGAGACAATTATAGTCATTACGGTCAGGAAGTCTAACCATGTTTTGTTCATACTCGATTTAAGTATCTTTTGCAAAAGTTCTATCTTCTTGTGTTCTTCGCCAGATAAATATACAATTGACATCGTTATTAGCACCAATGAAATTATCTGCAACATAGTTATATAACTAGAATAGCAAACAAGTTTAGGATCTACCTAAAGGACAATGGTAAATGACTAACGCTTATATGAATAGCATCGCGAAAGCCTGTCTTAGCCCTCATCAATGGCCCTTATGAGTTGCCATTTTTGATGACTTAGGTAATCTCCGCATTCTTGTAAATTTACAATGTCATCCCTTAAAATGCCCTTAACACAGCTTGAGAAGTAAGTAGCAGAAATGGGTGAACCAGTGGTGACAACTTTGTACAGTCTGCCTAAAAAATCGTCATCACATTTCTATTCTTTAAATATTCTTTATTGCACTTAAATACATTTGTAATTATTACAAGCAAATAAACTGATTGTCTACTTTATTCTTTGTGTAACTGGAAAGGCAAAGAAACTGACTGTACATCTAATGGTAACCGTTAATCATCCCATGTATAAGTGTACACATTTACAGCACTACGGAGATCATATCATTATATGACACCCTAGATACACAATCATTGCATCAACTAACTTACTATCAAAGCCAGCTGCTTGATTATCACGATAAATATACTCACGATAATTTTTAATCTAATATATATATCTATACATATAAATAATATTGGAGTGTCTATTTGTAATATTGAAATAACCGTTTTTTACTACATGCATATGAATATATACGGTACATATACCAAAATAACATTTTTTATAATTTTTGTCTGTCTGTCTCTCGGTCTGTTTGTTCCAGCTAATCTCAGAAATGGCTGCACCGATTATGACGGAACTTTTTTGGCAGGTGACTATTGTAATAAGGAGTAACTTAGGCTACTTTTATTTTAGAAAAAATCTTTTATTTTAGTAAAATAAAGTTAAATTCCACGCGAATGAAGTCGCGGGAACCGCTAGTGACTTATATAATAATAGGCATAATTTTGTACATTTTCTATAAATATTACAAGATTTGCTCAGTTTAGGTCAAAATGGGGTTATGTGATACTAGTGTGTACAAAATTATTTTATTTATTTATTTATGAAGTTATTGTAATGTAAATAAAATAGAGTATATATGAAATAGAATATCAGACATTTGAGTTTTAATGTCATTTTCCCTATAAGAATACCTAAATTACAAAATTGTACGTTTATTTTTGAGAAGAAAAAGAAATTTCATTGACAACCCGTAATGCACACATATTCATATAATAAATGCAATATACAATGGTGGGGCAGGAATTACATTTAACGGTAAACATAGTTTACCGTTAGCAATATTTGTGATAATATATTAGTATCAACTAGTTTATTCTACAGGGGAATTCGCATGGGAAAGATAACAATAATAATCATCTTTAGGTGTCTCAGATAATAAACAATTACAATCGGTGTTTATAATAAAATTAGGAGAGATTTAATTGAATTAATCTAGGCTAAATGATCTATAACTCAGAGGGGGTAGTGAGTCCACCCTCTCTGCTATTTTGTCATAGCGTTCACTAGTAAATTATTTTAACAAAAAAATCAACAACCACAATAGCATTTAAGTTCAAAACTGTTTCTACTAATAAACTATATAAACATAAAACTTCGATAATAACAAAAACTAAAAAGTAGTCAGGTTTACTAATACGGACTAATGCTATCAATGCAGAAACTAACTATGCTCTCAATGGAGAGACGCAAACGCCGCCATTTTCTTAAAACATTTTTTTAATTTTATATTATATACCATAAACAAATGAACATCAATAAATGACTAAGACGGGAATTAACGAAATTAATTAGTAAAAATGCAAATATACATCTCAAAGCAAATGCCTTAAGCATATTAAGTTGTATTGAGTTGTTTGTGAAGACATTGGATGGAAAGTATATTATCTTAATTAATATAAATATATAATAACCTTCTTATTTACTAAGCTTAAGATTTCATTTAATAAAATATTAACATTCCAATGAGAGTATTTCACTAAATACTTACAGTCGTAAGACATCCTATTACAGTACATTTTACTACGGGTGAAAACTGGTGTGAAAAAACATTTTTCCAACTCATTTTACGTCCTTTATATCCCCAATACAAAACAGTTAATAAACTCTTTACACCACACAAACATATGTACTCCAATATATCAATTAAAAAATTTGTAATAACATCCAAAGTTCCTTATAATAAATAAATTATTTACTTAAAATATAAACCGCCACAGCGTTAAATTAAATACGTCTGAACATGGTTAATTTGAACCAGGAATGGATTTCATTGGATACATATAAGAAGTGTATAGTATGTCCCTTTCTGCCAGGACCGGCCTAGCTGAAAACAGCTTACTCAGTAAACAATGAAGTCAGTCAGTCATCGTTTGTTGTGATTGCGCCCAGGTTCGTACTTGGAAATATTTATTATTAAGTAACGTGACGACACATGCGTGACTGTTTGAGCTTTTAATAAGTACCAAAGATTGACATCACCAATATAAACTCGGAATTGTATAGTTACATTGTTACTTTTTTTAGATACTATTATAATGCAGTCAGTCACATAAGCAGACGTAATGCTCAGTACTGGACAGGTAGAGTGCCGCTCACAATAAAGCAGCCCTCCGTTCTATTATGTTATCTGTGGTTCCATTAAATGAATATGGTTCCAATAAAACAAACATATAATTTCTTTTTTTAATCAACAGTGTATTTCAGTTAATGTTAGTCGCCAAATGAATTTATTTAGGTGTTGCATTCGCAATTTGTAGTTGGTGCCTAAATTGTTATATAATTAAACATACGAATGTTGAGAATTTCATGTATCTCAGTTGTACTTGTAAATAATACATACTTGTTTTAAGGTATAGTTTTGAATCCTCTTTATTCATATTATTTTAGAATCAATTATTACTCTTAATAAAAAACGTCAGTATCGAACACCTATTCAGTAGTAACCTAGACAGTTGAATTCAGTACTAATACCATTTTTTTTCTAAAATATAATAAAAAAAATTGAGGGGAAGGAAAATTTTAATAATTGGAGATTACTAGTTCTATTACCAACAATATACCATGATGTCTACGCGGCCTCTTTGGAAACCATCGTGATTAAACGTTAATTCGCCATTATGTGCTGACTGACTGGTTTTATTCTAATTTTATTATCCTTGACTGGTGTCTAGTATATAGTTAATTAGTGATTATTTATTAATAATGCTGTACATCGAGTAAAAGCACGTAACGCATGCTGAATAACATATGATTTACTACATTATTTGATACAGAAAATACATATATTAATGAAATTAATTGAATAGGTTATACTTACAACATATAAATTAATGTTTTACATATTACTGAATAAAAAAAATATGTAATGAAGATTAATCATATTGTTTATAACCACGCATAAGTATACTATTTTTTTAGTATATTGGAATTTATTCGTTTTAATAAATAATTCTAACTGTGTCAATTAGGTAAGGCAGCAATAACTTAAATTTCTTTCGATAAAAAAATCATCACCCACGCATCAAGTAACAAAAAACCTAAATGGGTTTTTACATTGTTTAAGTATGTCCTTAGGGTTTATTATTCACATTTGGTACTTGGAAAATAAACCTTTAATTGAGTCATAATTGCTGTTTAAAGTACCTAAGGCCTAATTTATGTACACGTACTGACGAGCTTTTTATTTTAATATAATTTGTTTTAAAATGAAATTTTGTTCAAATTCATGTGTAACCAAATAAAGAATCCGACTTCTTATCGTATTACTTTATATTTAATTAAATATATATATAAAAAACGTTTTGATTTGAAATTTGTGTCTGTACATTGCAAAAAGTCAAGAGTATCCTTTAAGTTAAATATACTCGTAGTTATCGCTTCAAATTATAGTTATTTGACAATTTACGAAATGATAAGATATAACCAATGTACACGATAACGTTTTAAGTGATTTAATAATCAATACTTTCGTCGAATTTTTTATATCGAGCATTCGTCCAATAGTTCTCCTGAAAATTTTTAGTACAACCATAATTATACTAATAAGTCATAAGAGAGACTAAATAGTTACCTAAGTTTCATTAAAGTGATTCACTTTTATTAAACCCAATCAAATTACTTTAATAAAAGTAATAAATAATTTTAGATTTAGTTAGATTTACTATATTTAACGAACTCAATTTATACCATATATATTACTACTCATGCTTAGTACTAATATCTCCATTCTGCTATGATGCGCTCATCATCCTACTGCGACTGCGTGCAGCATTTTGCATCTGTGGTGCATTGCGTTTACGTGGGAAAATAAACTACAAAATGGCTTCTTCTGCGGACATACTGACTCTTTCTTGTGTTCTACATTATAAATTATTTTATTCTATTGTTTATACTATTTACGTCTGCAATTTACTAATATATAAAGAACAAACCTGAATAGTAACATACCTAACATATTTATGGTGACCCCGATAAATATTTTATTATTATTATTATTATTATTTGGGGTAGTGATAATGCAATCTATAGTTAGATATCCACAACCTACCCAATGATATCATTTTTATAGGGGAATCTCATACATACAGTTTTATATATAATATATATTTAATGCTATATATATGCAATATATAGCATATATTGCATATATAGCATTATCGAGAGGTTACGGAGGCACGAATCATAGTCTTCAGGATCTAAGTTTTACATATATCTTCATCTTGTACAATATATATCATTAAAAGTTTTCTGAGGAATTATCGGATTTTTATCGACTGCTGAATAACATCATCGCACTGCCCGCCAAATTAAAATACCATTCTAAGCACCAAATGAAATGAACTCCTATCTTACAATATTCCAGAAACTTTCTGCTGCGTACAATCACATTGTGGAATCATCTTCCAACAATGGTATTTCCAAATCAACATGATATAGAAAACGTCAGGACGTTGCGGGTGCTCATGAGCATCAGTTATCTTTTATCATTAGGTGTGCAAGGTCATTTCAGTCTATGCTATAAAAAAGGAATTAGAAAACCTATGTGTATCACCTGACGATGTTCATGTTACATAGATGTATATTACTAGCAAAGTGGGTGTCAGGTCAACCGACCTTTTACCGAGAAATCTCTATAGATACCATGGGACCTAACAAAGATATACATAACAATTCTTATCCTACGTCCTAGCTATACATAAGGTGGGCGGACTAGGAAAATATGTCCTTAATAAAGTGATGGGACAATGGAGAGTAATGTTCCTAATATAAGTTAAATACAAAACTTGCAATTGTATTGGAAAGTATATTTTTAGCAATTTAGTTTTTAAAGAGCTACATATATTTGTAAACATAAATATAGTTCTTCAAAAACTAAATATATAACATGTTATCATTTTAGAATCGTATAAGAGTTATCATCGTTTATCGTACATTGATCTATTTTTTAAACTACAAAGGCGTGCATTGTTGTAAGTGATAACTTCGTTATCTAGCACTAGCTACTCTCCTCGGCTTCACACGAGGGTATCTACATATATTATACATATCAATCTTCCTCTTGATCATTATTTCTATTACTAAAAACTGCATTCAAATCCGTTGCGTGGTTTAAAAGATCTAAGCAAGAATCATTTTACATAGTTAAAAATACATAGAACTCGCTAATCCATCGGAGATAAGGCGGTATGCTAAACCGCTAGTTCAGGAGGCAGAAAGGATTATTAGTAATGTAGTCCACATTACTAACAATCCCAATGATCCCATTGCTAGCAATGTACCATGTCAGATCGACCTCCACGCGGTTCCCCCTGGAAATCATCGTGTTAAATTATTGATGAATTTGTCACTCATCAATTACACGATAGGCTGACTGACCTGACTTATGTTCATCTTTTATCCTCCACTGGTGCCCCGCCAGCGTAAACCGTTAGCACAGACGGGTACACCATTCCATTATCAACCATAAAACATTACCGCAAGTTCACTGAAATTTTCAATGTGTTTAACTATACTGTTATTTCTATGGTTTTAGTACTTAACCAAAAATTAAGTACCTACCTAACTTTACTGTACTTTACCTAATACTCGCACCAAAATATAATGCACGGAGCGGATAGGCGTATGATATTCGTGATAAAAAATGATAAAAAAGAAAACAACGTCGAAGGTCATTGAACGCTGTCATTCTATACTGGATTAAGCGAGTAGTCGAGAGTCTGTTAGTTGACCATTGTCACCGCGGAATCTTTGGACATTACACGCTATCTTAGTGCTATTCAAGTTATTTGGTAAAACGAACTCTCATCTAAGTGAATAGTATAGATTAGTGAAGTTTTTAAAGATGGATAAGATATATTTCACTGTCAATGGAGAACATTACTCATTGTGTAAGTCAAAAATATCTCTTCATTTTATGTTAATTTGTTCACAGTTTTGTCTGATGTTCTTAATATACCGGCGATATGATAGCATCATACTATTGAAATAACATACAACATAATAAAACGCGTGAGTTAATGACAAACGTACTGCCAAAAGTTGTTCATGTACAGGATTTTCATTAGGCACAAATAAATAAATAATATTAAGTTTATTAAAATTATTTATTTATTTAGGTGGCTTTTAAAAAGTATATATAGAAAGTATAAGTTTCTGGTTAATTCTTCTTAATTTAATGTACCTATATGTGGATAAGAATTATTTCACTGTTAATGGAGAACGTTATTCATTGTGCATGTCAAAAATATGTTATTTTATGTTAATTTGTTCTCAGTTTTGTCCCATAGTCTTAACTATAGATAACATATTACATTGTCTTAACATACCGGCGCGCGGCAATATGATGGCATCATATGTAGTATTCAAATAATCTGTATAGGTATATACTTTATGACTGTATTATTAATTTTGTGTAGGTACAATTACGGTATTTATTTATTTTATAATTGTTACAAATCCTTAATAATAAAAGATATATTTTATGCTTACGAATTACGTGTTCTTATCCGCCATTCGTACATTTCTACTTACTAAGTTATTTATGTATATAAATAATGCCATATGCCATTATTTATATTATGTATGTATTTAAAAAAATAGTACATGTAAATATACTATTTTTAAATTTAGTAAATACCTACCTATATGTGTTTATGTCAGTTGTTTAGTACCGATAACATAAGCTCCACTTGCCGTGGGACTATATGGCGCTGTGTGAATAATCCAGCGATATTATTATTTATATTGTATATTTGAGAACGAGAGAGAAGTTGACTGTATTTGAATTTCACATCATTCCAGTTCAATTCCTATCCGACAAAATTCAAAATTAAAAAATTATTTATTCATGTAGGACTTTTTAGCCGTTTATGAACGTCAAATTTGGCATAATCGTATTGGTATTTGGCATGTCTTTTTTGCACTTAAATAAATTTAATATATATTTAAAAAAGTAAAACTTAAAATTCATAGCGCAGACAATGTTATCTGATTGAACAAAGATTGAGTGCGTAACGGTTTCTATGTTGTTTGTGGCATGCCTTTTCCTTGTTAATGTAAATCTACTTAAATCTAAATTTTTTTAAAAGAGCAACACACAAGTTTCTTGCTCATTCTTCTTGTGATGAGTCTGCGTTCCGATGAGTGGTAGAATAAAAAATATAACTATTCAAAAGTGCTTATAGTAAGTTTATTTGAATAAATATTATTCTATTCTATTCTATAAATCTACTCTTTAGTATTACCAATGAACTATTCTTTCTTATTTTTAAATATATATTTTATTTCCAGCTGGATCGGATATTAGCCCTAGAACTTCTTTGAATGACTACCTTCGAAACTACTTGAATCTGTATGGAACCAAAGTGATGTGTCGGGAAGGTGGTTGCGGGGCGTGCATAGTCTCAGTGTCTCAAACACACCCAGACACCAAGGAGACAAACGTGTTCTCTGTTAATTCTGTGAGTAACTTAATCCTATTAGGTATATATGATGCAACCCTTTTTAAAGAGGGGAAGGTGATTGTTAGTAATGTGGATTAATGATTCCATTGCCAGCAATGTATCATGTCGGGTTGAAATCCACGCGGTTCCCCCTGAACACCATCATGATAAATTCCTTGTGAGTTTGCCACGATGAGCTAACTGACTTAACCTCCTGCTCATCTTATCATATTCCACTGGTGCTCCGCCAGTGTAAACCATTAGCGCAGACGTGATACTACTAACCATATAACAAAACTGTAGAGGTGCAATGACTGTACATAGGAAAAAATACCAAATACCAAGTAAGGGGGATGTTTGAAGTCATATAGAAAATATCCAGATTTCTTTTACAAATTTTTTGCAAAAAAAATCTGGAATCTTAGACTGTTCTTACGGGCTAAACTTCGAAACTATTGAACTAATTTAAATAAATTTGGCAAGGTGTATACTTTTAATCACGGAAACTTTTACTTGTTATCCCACGGGAAAGGATTCTCATTCAAATAAAAACGATAATTAAAATTAAACAAAAACGAGATATTATTATTGTAATAATAGTATAATTATTAAAAATGTTAATCGAAGAAATAACAAATACCATGTGGAGAAAGTCGTGGGCCTCAGCTAGTATACTTATTTACATGTAATAATGTTACGTACCTAACACCTATGTAATTTTAACACTCTTTTAGTTCAATGGCCATTTGTATTTTGTTTTTTACGAAATGTTCAAATATTATTAGACATTATAAACACTTTATTATTTGGAACTGTCAAGTTGCATTTAAATATTAAATATCTTAGTCTATCAAATTTATAGGTAGATATCATTAACGATATTCACACTGACAGCCTCGGTGGTCTAGTGGTTTAGCACACCGCTTTACTATCCTAGGGTCGCGGGTTCGATTCTTCGCACGGTACAAACATTTGTATTTATGAGTATGATTGTTTGTAATGGTCTGGGTGTGTTCTATGTATAATATATATGTATTTATTTATTACAAAAAAAGGCATCCATGTATTTATATCAGTTTTCTAGTACCGTAGGCGTAGTGTGAATTGTCCTGAGATATTATTATTATTATTATTTACAAATGACAATCCCTCTGATGCCACCTATGGGTTAGACATGGGATTGTTTAATCATGACCATATATTATATTATGAAATTAGAAGTTTCCGATTATTGTACACTGGCTAGCCCTATCTTCGTTCGTGTATATCTAATTAGGTTAGGTTAGGTTAGGTTTACAATTTAGCATTGAAAAATACATACAACTTAAAATTTCCACCCTATTTCGATCAATCCCTGTTTCTTCTATAGCGATGCTAGTACTTAAATGTATATGGCATAACAAAGAAAAAAGCGTGAAAGAACTTCTCAAATTGGTGCAATGGTTTCCTAGTTCTGAAAGGTAATTTAGTTCTGAACTTCCAAATATAGTAAGTTAACGCAATAAATAACTATTACATTTTTTTATCAAAATAAAACATCTATTTTGGTCAGAATTTTATTTCAAAACAAACAATGTTTATTTAAAACTGTTTTCTGCTTTATTATGATCAGGAAATTCTTCAAAATGGTACTTGATTTTAGAGTAACGTGTTGTTATAATACGGTTTCTATTCCAATAAGCGCCTTTTTAATTTTAAGCTAGCAAGAATTTAAGGAAAAATAATATTCCAAATGGAAAGTAGCAAGCTGATTCTGAATAAGTAATAAATTACTTTCAGGAATTGTGTTAATTTTACACGGTGTATTCGTTTAGTCTATTTCTGAATTAGTTTTCCTTATGCTATGACTATGAATAAAATGAATATGTCGGTCAAAGTTACAGATAAAATTATTTCTGTATAGGTAACTGATACTTTCTTATAGAACTGGAATAGTAAATGACCCTACGGGTTGGACACATAAGCAACACAACTCAGCGGTGTCCTCAGACTGCAGTCGCACTGAATGCACTGCGATTCCGTAGGATTAAAATTTTATCTTTCTGTGCCCTGCAGTTTCTCTAACATATCTTACACTTTACTTATACTTTAAACACCTCCTATAAAATAAAGTAACTTAGCGGCTTAAATAAACGACAAAACAAAATTATTATCCAACATTATTCTTAAATTTAAATATTATTTATTATTATTCGTATATATTACGAATGTAATAAATCATCTGTAATCTATTCATCAAATGATATCTACGAAAAAGTTTGTTCGTCTGCTTACTTTTTCACGATCTAACCGCTCATTGAATTTTGAACAGATACTATTATATATAACTTCGAGAATGAATTCCGAAAGGCTTATTATAATGTAGAAATATAATTAATGAATTTAGTTATATATAAAATCTCCTTCACATACAAACACTGTTCTATACAATTGGAAGCCGAGGGGGGTTACTCATTTCAAATTGGAATACTTAAGTGAAAACGGTTAAATTTCTTAAAAAAAATATGGCATATATAGTCATAGTTATGCATATAATACGTAATTGTTCTTAAAGTGTGACTCCCTATTCGACTGATTGTTAGCTAGAGTGATGAAGAAGGGCTAGATTAAAAAAAAAACCAATCTGTTTTATATATTTTATTTGTTTTACATTGCAATTCCTGATGACTTGTAAATAAGCTTTATTAACTACCACTATTATCGTGTATTTATATATTTTAATCCGATTACTAATAATACTCTTTAGTTTCGTAAACAATGAACTTCGTTTTGCTAAACAAATCCAACGCTAATAGCACATGCTTCAGTCTGAGTTTCAAGTTCCAAGTAGCCCGTGGTATTCCCCGGCCAATCCCAGTTTATTGACCCAGATGTAAAACTGCTAAATATAAATACTTTCATTCTGGAAATTAAGCGGCAAGACTACATTTTTTCTAAGATATTATAAAGAGGAAATAGTTTATTTTTTGTTAAGACATGCCCTATTAGTACTACTGTAAGTACCCATGTATATGTATAATGAAATTAAAAATCAACCATAAAATGTTATTATACATCGTTTGGTCAATTAGCAAATGCGTAGGTCCTCATAAATTATAGCTAGGCACCATCTCAATCACGTGCGAATTTCAAACAAAAGCACCGTATCCAAATCGTTCCAATTGCATTGACAAGCCTCGTGAGTTTATAGTTGGGCAATATAAAAGTACTGTACGTGTAATTTGTATTTCTGACATACTCTTCGGGGATGGAATACAAATTGTTTAGGAGTATAATGCCACTTAGCCACTGCCATGGTGGATTCAAATATTGAAATATGGGTCATGTGTTGCATTCACCACGAGATCAACAGTTGACAATGCCTCTGACTAGCCTATTTAGGATGATTGTCTTGAATTTGTTTTTAAGGCATGATAATAGAATGGTGCACTCGCCTAATGGTGTATGCTGACTACCAGTGGAGGATGATAAGATGAGTATGAGGTCAGATCAGTTATTGTGGCAAATTCACCAAGAATTTAACATTAGTTTCCAGGAGGAACCGCGTGGAGCCTGATGTACTAGCAATGGGGTTATTGATCCACATTACTAACAATTCCGCTTGAAGAAATTTATAAAGCATATCTTATAGTAAGTATTTATTACTTGCTCCGATTTCAGTGCTTGGTCCACATATTGTCCTGTCACAATTGGGACATCACCACTGTCGAGGGTGTTGGAAACAGGAAGACTGGCTACCATGCCATACAAACGCGACTGGCTACTTTCAATGGCACCCAATGTGGATACTGCACACCAGGCTGGGTCATGAATATGTACAGGTGAGTTATATCCGACTGTTAATTAATATATACTTCATATACCTTTTTTTAATGGTTGATAATGGAATGCTGCTCCGTTTCTGCTAAATTTATAAGCTGGTGGAATACTAGAGGAGAGAGGATAGTTATTTCAATGTGATGAATTCACCAGAATTACTCAAGTTTCCAGGCACAAACAAACCGTTCCACCATCACAAATATTATAAACGCAAAAGTATGCAAGTATATTCCTATGATGGGGTACGGTATAGTATTTTATGTATTCCGTTGAAATTTATCTAGCGATGTTCTGCGTCTAACATATTATATTTCTAACTGATACCTACATGCAATTACGATTGCGATACATTTTCCCATTTTTGCAACAATTTTTATTGCAGGTCCGCTCCTATTGGTCCATATTAATTGCACTCACAGATAATGTGGCTTTCTATTGGTAAAAGAATTATCAAAATCGGTTCAGTAAATTCAGAAATTATCCCCTACGACCTCACAAATCTACTTCTTTATAATTTTAGTAATGAAATAAAGAAGCTCAAAGTAATACGTTTTAGATTCATTTGTTATATTTATAGTTTATAAATAAATTAGAAAAATGCGAAATCAAAGTTATAGTCAAAATTATCTATTCATATAAGATACTTTTTGTTAGTATTCATGTTACTTCAACTTCATTTAAGAATTTCGGTTACAAGATCCTAAAAACCAGATGTTCATGTGTGTTCTGTATGATCGCCTTGAAACTTACAAATATAGAATGTTTAGACTAGAGGGCCAGCAGCAATTACTCAACCACATACCGACTTCGTTTTTTATTCACGTATATTCTTTAACTTAAGTACAATTTAAGTGTATATCTTCAGAATACCTTTTTAAATTATAGCTATGACATGGTGCTCTGTCAGCACTAAAGGTATACTCGAATATTGGGGCATCAGAGAAGGATGGGAAGATAAATGTGAAATCAGATTATCAAGCCCCTCGTGGTGAATTCATTACGAATGAAACTTAAAATGATGCGATGTCCTGGCCTGATAATGTATATAAGCAACAGTTGGCGTTTCGTATTTAACACCGACATTCGCTTTTTTAATGGCAAAAAGGAATGCTCCAATTACTTAAAAAATATATTTGCTACGAGCTTACAAGCCTACGTGTGTGCGTGGTATACAATAGGTAATAATATGCAAACATTATATTAACCCGGTGTAGTTCGGACTCGTTTAAGAGGCATTGACCGAATAATGAATTATTCTTGTTCCCTTATATTCATATTCTAGGGTTGCACACTTTGAATGTAAAATATCTGTTGGTGGAATTAAGTTTTTTTATTACTGGTTCGTGCCCAGTTGTTAAATTTAAATTGATGAGATGATGGTTCGAATGTACAGTCATAGTATGTATATCTTATCTGTGGTCATAGTGAAGTGAACGAAAAATGATGAGTTTAAAATATGTTCGATTAAGTCTTGTTGACGCACTGAAAAAAATAATCAATTAAGTAAGTTGAGTTACTCTATAAATAACCAACTTTAGACTCTAAGAACTATTTTTTAGATTATTCACAAATTATTATTATATTTACTATTATTATAATATTTTACATCAAAACAAGCTATAATTTCTATTAAAAACTTATATCTGGCAACCTTAGTTCCATTTATTCTGAAGTCACAATTTAAAGAAAAAAAAATATCAAATATAGAAAACCAGTTAAAAGACAAGATACATTATTTATAAATACAACATACCTACCAAGTTGTAAGTAAGCATTCTAAGCATACCTTGTATTTTAAGGGAGTACTAATGTTGTTACAATTTAAATCTTGTAGTAGAGGTATCATTATCAACAAAATACTTTTATATATAAATAGGTATAATAATATAAATATTAATGATTGACGAAGAACATAATACTCGTGTACGAGATATAATTCCCATCCGATCGATCCCCCGTCCAATTCAAACGGGGATCGAAATTACGACATACTGAGCCGTGGTTCGAACACCCAGCGGTGCCCTCAGACTAAAGTCGTATCCGTCAGGCGGGAGTTGACCTTCAGACGAAGTCCTTCCACAGGTTTGCAGTGCCATCTGCACTCGCCCCCTATCGTCCGGTGAAGCTATAAAGGCCAGCTCGGCCGACAGTTATTAGATTAGTCCGAAAAAAAAACAGTCATAAAACCTATTTATTATTTGAATTTCGAATGCTTGCGTTCATTTGTTTTATGAATAAATTATGATATAAAAGAGATATGAAAAAACCAACGTGGTGTTTGTTCATCTCCACAACTTAAAACTATGATTGATACAACTTGTATAATTAGGTGGATGAATAGATAGGGGTGACCTATAATTAAAAAGTAAAATCAATTAAAAAGTGAGGGTAGTTATCAGACATTGTCTATTTATTTTTAATTATTTTACATAATCTGAACATTATCTACAGATATAAATAAAATTGGAGTGTCTGTTTGTTATATTGAAATAACCGTTTTTACTACATGCTTATGAATATAAATACATACACGGTACATACGATACGTACACCAAAATAACATTTTTTACAATTTTTGTCAAAATGGAAATGGCTGGACCGATTTTGACGGGACTATTGTTGGCAGGTAGCTGATGTAATAAGGAGTAACTTAGGCTACTTTTATTTCAGAAAAATAAAATAAAATTCCACGCGGATGAAATCGCGGTTACAGCTAGTCTATATATACATATATAAGTTAGGTATATCCAAACTTAATTATCTCATCTCCAAACTGCGTCTCCAATAATGTATTTCCTTTGACGTGGATTGAAGGTCAAAATGGCACGCAAACCGGATTCATGGAATTTAATAAGATGCATTAAGTAAATTATATTTTATCAGACAATCAAAAGATTTAATAGGTAATGTGAATAATTTAATTAGACATGAAATTATTAGTTTTATAGTAATAAAACGTAACAGAATACGAAGAGGAATATTTTTTTCTTTTGAAATATATATTTTAGTTAGTAACTACTCGCTCCGGCTTCGCACGGGTATAAATATATTATATATATATAAAACTTCCTCTTAAATCACTATTTTGAAATAAAAAAAACCGCCTCAAAATGCGTTGCGTAGTTTTAAAGATTTAAGCATACATAGGGGCAGACAGCGACAGCGACATTAGTTTCTACTGTGTAATGAACTGGCTAAAATGCCTGACATGAACGACCTAAAATACTTTGACTATAACTAGCTATTGATATATTTGTAATACATATAACCGTGTAGAGACTCACAAATTATTCTAAGTAAAATATTAAAATTTATTAATAGATACAAATTTGAAATGTCTTCATATTTCTAGAAGTACCTAACTGATTTCTTTTCATACACATATATTTATTATTAATATATTTTACATCTGAGTTCCACCATCATCTTCGCAACAAAAAGTATTTAAGAATTTAAGTGTAGGATGTCGCTAAATTACCATTGTTCAAAAAGTTTAATTTATCAGCTCTAATTTATCTATTGAATGAATTGATCAAGCAGTTGTTTGGTCGTGTTGTATATAAATCACAAATAACGCAAATTCATAACAACTAGTTATTACACAACCAATTAAAATTATGTAAATATTGTAATTATGTAAAACAAAATAAATTTAGTCATAATATCAACAAATACAAATATGATGAACATCGACTCGACGTCATCGGTGGTCTAGCGGTTTACCGATACCGAAGGTCGCGGGTTCGATTCCTCACACGGTAAAAACATTTGTATTCATGACTATGATCGTTTGTATCGCAAAAACATAGACGTGTTTATTATGTATATTATGTATGTATTTACAAATACATATATCTTTATATTAGTTATCTTGTGCCCATAACACAAGCTCTACTTAATTTGGGACTAGACGTTGCTGTGTGAATTGTTCAGGGATATTAACAGATACAAATGTATCGGTACGCATAGCGTTCTACTATATTTTTATCTATTTATTTTACCATTTTTATTATGTTCCCTAGCCTAAACAAGAGTTCAAATGGGAAGCTAAGCATGACGCAGATCGAAGACTCATTCGGCAGTAACATGTGTCGATGTACTGGCTATCGCCCAATTTTAGCTGAATTCAAAACTTTGCCCAGTGACCTTGAACCCGAGTTAAAGAACAAAATACAGGTACTAAGGTAAAATTAAGCACTGATACATAGAAAGACCTCGATGGTCCAGCAGTTTCACACACCGCTTCATCAGATGGTTGCGGGTTCGATTCCTCCCACGATGCAAACACTTGTGTTCCTGAGTGTAACTGCTTGTATTAGTCTGTATGTTATTTTGTGTATGTATTTACAAAAAAAATGTATTAAACTATTTATATCCCTTATTTAGTATACAGAAGCTATGCTTAGCTTAGGATAATGGCGTTATGTAAATTACCCTAGGTTATTAATATTATAGTACATATATGTCATATGTCGCAGGCCGTAGAGTGAATAAAAACTACACTTTTTTTCATTATGTAATCTAGTTGACCAATTTGTAGGCTGCTGATTATACTGTAGTTTTTTAATCGTAGGCACATATTTACTATATGCATAGTGTAACTTTTTGATATTTAATGTTTACTTTTAAGTGCAGCAACTTACTGACTTTTAAAAGAAAACAACATGATGATTACATATCTACATAATATAATCATCTAGCACCACACAACTCAATAAATTTTGAGTTGCGTACTTCAGTAATTTAATACATATTACAGTTATTAGTTCTCTCATTATAATGTTGATTATGGAAAAACAGAATTAATGTTTCTTTTAACATCATATAATGTATACCGACACATTTGGTGATTTTGAAGTATTTTTCTTCTCCCCAGCGTTTATGTATTATTATATTGAATTGGATGTATATGTTTTATACGTGATCATGTGATCTCTTTTTTTTTAGGATTTGGAAGATTTACATAATTTAAAATGTAAAAATAAGTGCGAACGTAGGTGTAGCATTAACGAGGATTGGTGTATGATCAACATGAAGCCGGACACACTACTGACAGTAAACGGCAACGGTAGCCGCTGGTATAAAGCGTTTACAATCAGCGATGTATTTAAGGTACTATGCAAATCTCTTAAAATGGCCACCAGTCGATACTAAAATAAAGCAACATCAAAGCAGTGACAAGGCCTATGTTGCTCCATAGATTCCCTCGTGTGTAGCGAAATCAGAGCAAATTTCTGATAGTATATCCGTCGATCGGATTTACCAACCAATGGCCAATATGCCCCTGATTTTAGTGTAATTTATGTTACTGTTAACACATTTGTAGATCTAAAAATCCACTTCAGTGGTAACTACAACAATTTTACTCCTATAGAAATAGAAATAATCTTTATTCAAATAAACTTAATATAATCACTTTTGAATAGTCAAGTTTTTTGATTCTACCGCTTATTCGGAATGCAGATTCAACACAAGAAGAATAAGTAAGAATATTGTGTGTTGCTCTTTTAAATAAATATTGATTTACTTAGAATCAGTTCAATCTAACGAATAAACTGCAAATTTTTACGTAATCTGTTTACTGTTATTATTGTATATTTTAATAATCGCCACCTTATTTTGGATAATTAATGTATGTTGGGTACCTTTCTTTCAGATACTTTTAAAAGAAGGTGTGGATAGCTATCGATTTGTTGCTGGAAATACTGGTCAAGGTTAGTTATATAAAGTATTCAATTATCGTATCTAAATTATATAATTTTAATGCATAATTTTAATAGCCTATGCATTTCAGGGGTGTTTCCAATTGCAACAGATTCTCGTGTTCTAATAGACATATCGTCTATAGCAGCTTTAAAAGGTTCATGGACTGATGGCAACCTGGTGTTAGGAGCGGGTACAACTCTCACAGAAGTGATAAAAGAATTCCAAAAATGGGCTAATGACAATGTAGACTTCGCATATTTGAAAGAGTTTCACAAACATCTGAGCCTTATTGCTCATGTACCCGTAAGAAATGTAAGTGTTCACAATATTATTATTTATGTAATTGCGCTGCATATACTGTTTTGTTTATGTTTATTTCTGTTTCTTTTCCTTGTAACTTTACCTTGTGTATGTGTCATTGTAAATAAATAAAGTTATATCTATCTAACTCTGTCATTATTTTAGTAATTTTGTAGTGGTTCAAAATGTATACGAATATAACTATTATTTCTGTATAGTCATCTAAATTACTCTTATTATCTAGTGAATCATATTGTTAACTGTATTTTGATGGTACTAGGTTTATTATTTTATAATATATTATTTAAACTAAACATGAATTACTTCGCAGTTTGTGGCCACTTATGTAGTTTGTGTTTGTGTATGCCTACTTATTAATGAGTTTTCACTACTTGCTAATATATGTACTCTCAATATCTCGATGTTTGCGTAAAAGATATACCCCCTTATCTATTTCATTTTAGATTACTATTTTTTTGTATGAAATGTGTATGTTATCAAGAATTATAACCGCCTAAACTTCTATTACAATTATGTTTTTTTTTGTTCTCAGATAGGAACTATTGGCGGCAATCTGGCTATGAAGAATAAACACAACAACTTCCCTTCAGACTTGTTTCTTATTCTAACAACTATAGAAGCCGTTATAATTGTGGGTGCGTTTCATCCCTATTATTTTCTAGAGATGTACTGACATGGGCGTACCTAACTTATAGAAATATTTACATTTATTTTTAAAAATATAGGTACATAGGAAACATCCGGCCAATATAAACTAACATAATCACGAATTAAAATATTTCTATCGCTGAACCGCTAGACTAACGTGTCCGTCAATAGATTATGTCTTACATCACAGATAATATATAGTTATAGAAGTTAATTAAACTTTACATTATTTTATTTTTCTAGTGAATCACAAGTTAGAAAACAGTGTGTCGAAATGCATGATTTATTAAAAATGGATCTCACAAATAAGTTAATTACTGAAATACAAATACCACCGCTGCCTGCAACGTGCCTAATTAAAACGTATAAGGTAAAGTAGAGATATACGTAATAATAATTATTTAAGTTTTAAAATGGGGATAGACGCTACGATTTTTGTAATAATAATAATCTCTGGATAGTTCACATAGCGCCATCTAGACCCAAGTTAAGCAAATACAAAGTTTTTTTTCGTAAATACATACACATTATACGTAGAAAATACCCAGACAGATACAAACAATCATACTCACGAATAAAAATGTTTGAACCATGCGAGGAATCGAACTCGTTACAATCGGAAGTAAGGCAAAGTGCTTAACCGCTAAACCACCGAGGCCGTCATTATTTGAGTAATAAAATACCGATTGACGCTACACTGCCTTTGCCACTAACTCATGAAATAATGTCGTCTCTTGTACAAGTTTTTACTAGCTGTTGCAATCGACTTTTCACAAGTGGTATTAATAAGATGATTTTCTTTTTAATGCTTTTATTACATGATTGCGGAAAATTGACTCTTTTGTAAATGATTTCTTAACAAAGGCTTACTATTTTGCTTGGAAGGTGTTCCACTTAGTAGCTTTCAAGTCAACCACAAAGGATTTTATAAGTTTAAATTCAATCTATACTCACAAAATCTTTCTCCTAATAGATTGTAATCTTTTTATAATCTTCTAGATAATGTCTCGAGCTCAAAACGTACATGCGATAGTTAATGCTGGGTTTCTCTTCAAAATAGACCCCTCGTCAAATAAAATTGTAACCACGAACATTGTCTATGGTTGCATGAATCCCAATTTTGTAAACGCTAATGAAACCGAGAAAGTACTAAGAAACTCTCTGTTATATAGTGAAGAAACATTGCAGAAAGCTTTGAAGATGTTAAACATAGAGTTGAAACCAGAAATAGATCTACCTGAGTGTTCACCGGAGTGCCGAAAATATATAGCTTTGGGTCTTTTTTATAAGGTACATACATATATATGTTTAATCCTCTATTCCATACTACTCTCCGTTCCATACTATTAGCTATAAATCCGGATTCGATACAAGAGTCAGACTAAGTTAGATCTAAGATAACCGCGTAGAAGGTATTTGTACAAGCTTATCATGTTAATTATACATTATATTATAATTATGCAGTTAATCATGACTAGAACCAATAACTTTGCGACTTTTATATGTAATTGGGATGACAAGCAAACTGACAGCTCACCTTATGATATGTGATAATCGTTGCTCATGAACATCACTTATTATCAACTCATTAATCATGCGTTGCCTTTCTGTTCTATCTGTAATTTCACTGTATCTCATCCTTTATTCGAAAGACATTTTACAAATGCTAACTGTCAGCGAGGCACCCACATAGGCGAGTTTTTCTCTCGATAAGACTTTGAGGTAATATCACACCATATGAATAAATAACTATTAATTTACCTTTATATTACTTTAGGCAGTATTATCACTATGCCCTAAAGTGAATCCTCGCTACAAGAGTGGCGGCACAGACTTGGAGCGTGAATTATCGAGAGAGGCACTCAGACTTTTGACACCGATAAATCTATATGGCCATTGAATAAGCCAGTACCTAAACTGGAGGCTTTATCACAGGTATCGTATTTATCATTTTTCATCTGGAATTTTTTACTGAAAGTGTCAATAAAGTTGTAGGCACACCGGTCGAATTTTCAAACCTGACGCCCATGGAATGTTGAACATTGAGATGCGAATATGATAGAATATACTTACTCAATCTCCCATACAAATAAGATTTATATACCCTAAAAATAAGTGATTTTTTTTATATACTACAGTTAAGAAAGATGTGTGAAAGATGATATGTTATTTCGATTGATAGAGATCAGTGGAAGAGATTTTTTCATTATATTTACTACAGTTAAGAGTATATTAGAGTACATATTACCTACTAACATATCATAGCGCAGGCGGGAATACAATTCTAACATCTACTTTTACTAGTATGTAATAGATATTCTTTGCCAGTATTGAATTATTTAATGTTACTCATATATTGTTTATCCACTCCATGCTGAGTAAAAACAAGTTATTACAACTCATGCACTTTTAAAAGGTCGACTGGTAGCATATAAGTAATACAAAATGAATAAATGCAAAAGGATCAATCAACCCAACTCAAGAAAAACATTGCAATGGAACAAATGTATCGTTTTAATATATCCTTCTTAAAAATCCTCATGCTGTAGTCTCTCAAGAAAACCTTAACAGATAGTTCATTCCACAATCTAAGTGTACGCTCCTATGAAACCGCACTGTCTGAGACCATTTGCGTGTAGGGGTGAATTACTTATCGAATGCGAGCAGTGCGATGGTAAAAGGTAGGCATAATGAACAATTCTTCAGAACACAATTCGTTACATATTTCATAGAGCACACAAAGCAATGAGAAGGCTCACCCCAAACCAAGAGTTCGATACTGCTTGAGAGGTTCTGATCATTCTAAATATTTATAAATAATTTTATTGACACATTTACATTACTATAGTGTGCAGGCGAAGCCAGATATTCGTGTGACGTCAGCACTGGACCACGTACAGTGCACGTGGCGTTCGTTCTGTCTGACGTAGCAGTTGCTGAGATCGACCGTTTCGACCCCAGTGAAGCTTTGGTATGTTTTATCTATCTTGGTATGTTTGATTTGTGTATCTTCAACGATCCTAGGGAGCCTTGTATAGTCGTCTGCTTTTGAGTATCTGGGTATCATTTGCTTGACTGTAAGTTGTGTCCTGGTTTAAAAGTTATTACCATGGAACTATTGGTTACAAGATAAAATAGATATCAGAGCAAAATGCACGGTCCTTTTTATTCTTTTATTCCGGTTTCTAACATTAAATTTGTGTTGTCCATGGTGGTATCTATAGGCTACTTTGCATCAGGTGGACCGATAACTACTACTGCTCTTCAAAAACTGATAGTAATACTGTTATAGAAATATCTAATCAATACAGTTTAGTGACTAGATACTAGCTGCCACGGCTTCGCATCGTTGTAAATGTATTATACATATAAACCTTCCTCTTGAATCACTCTATCCATTGCTAAAAATTGCATTACATTCAAATGCCGCAGTGAATTATACTATTCTTTATTTTATTTTATAAACTATTGTAGCAACATTTATCTTGCAGAAAGTTTCTGGTGTTATTGCATTTTTATCTGCTAAAGACATACCAGGCAAAAATACTTTCACACCGTCAAACGTACCGTGGATGGACTTTGACGAAGAGATCTTAGCTAGTAAACACGTACTATATTACGGACAACCTGTAGGGCTTATAGTCGCCAATTCACACAATCTGGCCGTATCTGCTGCTCAACTAGTGAAAGTCGATTACAAGAAGAGTGAAGCCAAACCTGTAATTACAATACAAGACGTTTTGGTAGCTCCAGATAAAGATAAAAGGGTAAGAAATCTTATATGTATTATATGAACAAAGCCTCACGATAATTAACTAATCGTTCATTAACTACACGTTAATTAATAGAAAACGAACCCATGTATTTAAGATTTTTAAGAAAGACTTGTTCTTTTACTCGTGTTAGCTATACTACAACATTTAAAAATATTCCCAAGGAGTGTTTTATAAGGTGACGTCGGATGAACGGCTGGTCATTAATGTTATGTTAAAATATATAATAATATCAATAAAAAATAACAATGATATTAGATCGATGTTAAATGATAGACTATAGATAGAATATACGATGGACCGAATGGAATAGGGGCAGTAAAATGATGACGTAAGTAATACTTTCCCAATAAACGTATTTCTTGTATTAAAGATTCGCAAAGATATAACGGTGAAAGCTACAGATCGAGGGCAAGATATAAAACATGTAATCAAGGGGACCTTTTTTATACCTTCACAATATCACTACACGATGGAGACACAATCATGTACAGTAATACCAACTGAGAATGGAGTGGAAGTGAGATCTGCAACACAGTGGATGGACTTGGTTCATGTGGCTGTGGCAAATATGCTAGCGGTACAACAAAATAAGTAGGTAACTTTTAACAACAACGACGATTATTTTTTTTACACAATTTTTTTTATATAACTTAAATATAAATAAACAGGCTAACATCCTAACTGGTAATAACAGACGTTACAAAGTGTATTGTGACAAAATACTACTTCTGCATTGCCATTGCTCATTTCATTGCCTTATCTCGTACTTTATAGCATTCTTTGCAACCCGTCGGCACAAATATACTACCACAGACCCTCATTGAAAATAACAAATACATAATATCAGAGTATATTAACCAATCAATTCAAATTAATCCATGATGCATCCTTGAAGACGTATACAGATGTCATTAACTGAGATACCTGAGACAACGTCGTCGAGTCGTGAAAGATAAAGAAAGCGATGTCTATTTCAGAGTTGAAGTAATAGTAAACCGCGTGGGGGGTGCTTATGGTGGCAAGGCCTCAAGGTCGAGTCAGATCGCCTGCTCAGCAGCACTAGCGGCGACTGCCTGCGGGCGTGCTGCCTCGCTTGTGCTACCAATAGATACCAATATGGCAGCTGTGGGTAAAAGACAGGAGTGCTTAGTTGAGTATGAGGTTAGTACGAGTATCTAGATAATAACTACATATATGATTAATATTTTACACATTTTCCCATGTAAGTTTCTCGAGTATGTTTATGGTTGGTGGTAATCAACCTTATGGCCTATGTGATGGTAATCCATTACGATAGCCAATGGACATCTGAAATATAAGGGTCTAATGTTTTCTTTTATATGGGAGATATTTTTTATACATTTTACGAAAATAAACTTTTTATGCGATCTCCGTACTACATCGTTGGATTCAATTCTTGATCAAAAATTTAGATTTTTTATAATTTGTTTTTGACATTACATTGTAATTTTTATACTACAAGAGTCATCTGACCATGATAAATATGCAATATAATTAAACCTCTATGGCCGTTTTGCCATTTTTGGTTAATGCATTCCAAATACGAGTATATATAGAACAGAGGATTTATATATTGTATACATGTTAATTTCTAGTCGAGGACTTCCATTTAGAAGTACAGTTCAGGATCAGACCAAATCCGATTGTTCCTTATATTTAGGGGGGGTGACTGTTCTGTTTTATGTAAACAAAATTACTAAATATACGCCCACCTCTTGGCAGCTGCTTACACTAAAACTTTCAGCTAGGGGTAGACAACATCGGCGCCATTCAATACTTGGATTTAAGCTACTACAGTGACTGCGGGTGTTCCTATAATGACACAGCTGGCAGCTCCATCGCCGGCATACTTGCCAACTTATACAACAGCTCGCGATGGTCAATTACTGGCTACAGTGTACTGACTGATAAAGCGAGCAACACTTGGTGCAGAGCTCCGGGTAAGTCATGTTTCTTTGCATTAGTAATTGATAAATTGTGTATGAAATAGCGGATTGTATTTGGATAGGTCTTGGTATTTGGCAAGGTATTTTAGTAAAAGATGAATCGTTAATTGCACGGCGTGTATTTCAGAAGCGAATTATATAGTTATAACAAAAAAGGAAAAGGAAATTACTTTGTACAATGTTACCATCAATACAAAAGTGTTGCTCACTACTATTATTGAATTTTCCTAATTTACAATAAGGTAAATATTGTATGTATTTAACAGTAATAAATATAATTGTAGTTATAAAATTTTAATTTGTCACCCGCGACTTTGTCTGCTTTTGTTCGGGTTACAATCTATCTTCAAGTGAAATTTCGTTAAAGTATGGTCAGCCGTTTAGTCGTGAAAAGGTTACAAACAGAAGCATAAACCTGCTTCCACGTTTATAATATTAGTATGAATTAATAATTATATACAATTTAATCTAGTCCAGTGTTAGTAGTGGCTAATACATAGTAAATCGTAAAAAGTTGCAAAATCTCGAAGATGTAATACAAAATAATATATACGGTATTCTGCATTTGTAATACCAGCAAAATCTAGGGCCGTCGAGGATCAGGCAGACTCCGTATATTTAGGCTAAAGAACCAATGGTAGTAATTCATAAGTAGTACCATACCTCTGTTCAGAATAATGGCGGACGAGGTTTAAGAACGCCGTCATGATTGTAAAACATTTCGTAATAGACAGCGCCTAGAGAAGATCTATTCAAATATACTTTAATAAAACTGACAATAATCCCTAAAAACGTTATAAATCTAATAAACAATAGGTATACGATCTCAGTCAATAGGAAGTTTTAAGTAAATACAATACAATGAATCACTTACATGTGGTTAGGTAAATTAGATGTGTAACTAGTTGTGTCTTACCAATTGATATAAGTACCTATATCATAAGTCCCTCGTCAAACCTTACTTACACCTACTTACATTTTAAATTCATATCTTAATTATTACCTATTTATAAACGTAGCAAGAATGGTTTTCCTTCTAAGTTACCTATTTTATTTAGTTCGGCTTTAATTATTTATATGAGCTTATTTACATTCGGTGCAGGCGTATTTACCTATAAATATATACATAATTAGTAACTCATAGTTTTGATAGCTTTATATTATTATATATTTAAATATTTAATAAGGTATTATGTGCTATCAGTAATTTCAATAATAATTGTGAATTACGTTAATTAGTCAAATACAAACGCTACCTTACAATTTATATATATATAAAACTAACTATAATATATAGATGGTGATAATAATATTTCACACTAATTTATCCACGTTTCAGGGACTACAGAAGCTATTGCAATACATGAACATCTTATGGAACGTATCGCATTCATTACCAAACTAGACCCTATCGACGTGAGATTAACCAACATAGCACCAAAACATAGTGGTATAAAAGATATGATTGCCACACTTAAACAAAACTCCGATTTTGATGTACGGAAAACAGATATAAAAAAATACAATAGCGAAAATGCATGGAAGAAAAAGGCTTTAAAATTATCCATAATGTCGTATCCCATTGAGTATTCTTGGAACTTTCCAGTAACAGTTTCTGTATACCACGGTGATGGAACAGTAGCTATATCTCAAGGTGGCATAGAGATGGGACAAGGAATAAATACAAAAGTTGCGCAAGTATGCGCTTACACATTAAAAGTACCATTGGAAAAAGTATCAGTTTTTGGAAGTAACAGTTTCGTATCGCCAAATGCTATGTGCAGTAATGGAAGTATAACCAGTGATTGCGTAGCATACGGTACGATGAGGGCTTGTAAGGAACTGTTGAAAAGATTTGAAGATATTAAAGGGAATACGAACGAATCTTGGGAAGAGACTGTCAAAAAGGCTTATGAGAAAGGTCTGTTTGTTGGTTTGAAAACTTTATTAACATCTTAACTATTATAAATAATTTCATGCGCCTTTGTTAGTGTTTGCAAAGATTTCGCTTTTTGTTAGCAATAAGCTCAAAATATCCTTATAATACTTACACTTAATCGTTTATAAAAAAATTATCTTAAGAGTAAGACCTAAGTAGACCTAAAGTATACCGTATATATTAATAGATAAACCGTGTCCAGAACTCTATATATATATTTATTCATCGATGTTTCTTGTGAAATTCTAAACCAAAAAATCTGTAACATTAACATATCAAAGTTAAGAAAACACCGTCCTAAGAACTAAAATAGAAAATTAGGACGTTTTAAAAACACTCGCTAAAAGAAAAAAAAAACACTGTTAATTATGTTAGGTTACCTTACCTACACCTGTTTACTTTCTTACATTTACAGTAGATAAGTATAATATAGGGGGAGGGGATCATTAGTAATAGGGATTAGTGACCCCGTGCATGACCAAGTTCGGTCTGCCTCCATCGAGGGAGGTCGCTGTAAATTGTAGTTAATTCCTGGTGAATACTCACGATCAGCCAACTGTTCTGACTTCAATCTCACAGTATCATCCTGCGTTAATCCTTGCTGTTGTATACCGTTATATCAAGCGAGTGTATTATTGTCTATGCAATCACGAATAAAAAATGCAATAAGTGTAAAAGGTAATTGATACAGTTACTTTATGTATACTAATAGGTATAAACTTGCAAGCGAGCTACATGACCTCACCACAGGACTCCCTACAAGGTTACGATGTCTACGGCGTATGTGCAATTGAAATACAACTGGACGTGCTGACCGGCACGCATCTTATACAACGGGTTGACTTACTTGAGGATGCTGGTATTAGCCTCAGTCCAGATATAGATGTGGGACAGGCAAGTGAAGCTAATTATATCTATTTAAAATACAATTCGGTTGCAATTTCTATGTATGATTAGGTTAACTTAATATTTCTAAAAATATACTACCTATTATATATTAATATAATACTAGCTGACCCGAAAACGTTGTTTTGTCTTACAAATTAAACTCGGTATTTAAAACTAAGGGTTGGTGTATGTATTTTTCAATGCTAAATTATAATCAAATTAAAATTTTTATCGAAAAAATGAATAAGAAAATTTTAGGGTGAGCCACCCTTAGCTCTTAGCGATATAAAAAATATTATAAACCTATTCTCAGCTCAGACCTACTGAATATACATATAAAATTTCATCAAAATTGATCAATCCGTTTCGGAAGAGTATAAACTCGAAACCTATGTCACGAGAATTTTATATATTAGAAGATGTAAGAATATCTAGTGAGAAAATCAATTAATTTAAAGTAGGTTAGCATATTAGGCATGTACAATAAAATCTCAGGAATGTGAATGACGTGTTATGTTTATAGCCGTTGATCGAAAGGGGAGGTGCGGGGTGGGAGGCTACACTGCTATACTTTTTTTGTTGAATACTATTAGGTATCCTGTGGTTAGTCTTCGAATGACGAATATTTTTAAATATAGTTAGATACTGGAGTAACTAAGAATGTGGTCAATATAATATCATTTATGCTAGATAGACACAATTCCAGTACTGATTGATGCATACCTACCTATTTAATTCTTTTGGAGTATCTAGGTACTACCAACCACCGGCCATGAGTCACTCAAATTTGTTTTATGTCTGGTTAAAATTTTTTAGTTCGCTGACGATATATTATATATATGCTATAAATGTATGTTTTTTTTGTACATATATGATAATGAAATGGTGCACCCTCTGCGCTAACGATTTACGCTGCCCCGCCAGCGTAAACCGTTAGCGCAGAAGGGTACACTGCCGTACCAGTGGGTGATGATAATATGAACATGAAGTCAGGTCAGTTAGCCCACCGTGATGGTTTCCAGGGTAAACCGCGTGGAGGTCAACCTGACATGATCCATTGCTGGCAAAGGGGTCGAGAGCCCACATTTCTAACAATCCCCTTCCCTATATTTGTATTTCAGATCGAAGGTGCCTTTATAATGGGAATCGGCATGTGGACCACAGAACAATTGACGTATGACCAGACAACTGGGCGACTTCTAACCGACCGCACCTGGACTTACCATCCTCCCGGGGCGAAGGATATCCCTGTCGACTTTAGAATCACGCTGCAGCCAAATTCACCAAATCCTACTGGAGTTCTTAGATCTAAAGGTGACTATTTCAATTTTAAAATTTGTTCTGGGTATTTTAAGTATTATCCCCATGGATATTATTTCGTCGACCGTAATAGTGTAGAAGTTTATTACACCAACTAATTTACCTTCTGATGGTCAAGAGTTCGATTCCCGCACAATATAGATACCTACATTGTAAATGTACTTACAGGTAATTGTAGTGGGTTTAAAATACTATTATTTAAGAAAAGTACATATTCTCTCGCTTATAAAAAAGTCAAATGTGACATATAAAAAGTGTATCAAAATAATAAATGCTTCTAAACAGACTGATGGAACAATCTGCCAGCAACGTAGGTACTTGTATTTCTCTGGGTATTTCTATATACCTTATATGTTGTAAATACCTCCTATGTACTGATCTATTGTTTTATTTTAAATATGACATAGATACTCGTAGGTCAAATTAACTATTTCTGTCCTATCCATAGTAAATATATACCCAAATATATTTTCAAATGCAAATACTTGTATAGTGCATAAATCAAACCTACGACCACCGTAAGGTAAGGTAGTGTGTTAAACCGCCAAAACACCGAGATCATACCTACTATTTTTTAAGCTAACTTGATTACCTACGGGTACGTACACATTTCGAGATATTTATGTAAATTTTTTTTTCATGTCTTTTAAATACCTACTGTCAATGTAATAGCTGATTTTTTCAATTTTAGCTACTGGAGAGCCAGCCTTGAGTTTAGCGGTAGCAGTGACATTTGCATTACACGAGGCTGTTTTAGACGCAAGGAAAGAATTCGGATACCAGGATACTGATTGGGTTTCAGTAGGTGAGTAAATTTTTATTTCGCTAACTTTTTCTCAAATATTATTATTATATACATGTGTTAACTATTTGAATATATTTAATACCTTGGACAATTCAGAGCTTGTGAGAGACAATGGGTACTAAACAACTGATATAATACTTAAATACCTTTTTTCTATAAATATATATATAGAAAACAATCAAAGCACCGAAGCCATCATAATAGTAGGTGACCACACGACTTCATCCGATTTTTTACATAAAATATGACGAACAGGGCTGTTCATCCCAGTGATAGAATCTATTCTCATATCAAATTTCAATAAGATCCGTTCAGCAGTTTAGTCGTGGGTAACAAAGGTTGTTATTAACAAAGGGTAATAAATAAACTAGATAGAAATCGCTTTAAAATTATTACGGAAGTGTGGATTAGCTAGCATATTCTGGAATTTTTCATTTAATATTAACAGGGCCAGAGCTATGTAGGTATATAATGGTTATAACTTGACTTGTTTCAGATGCACCGTACAACGTGGAAAATATATTAAAAGCAATATCACCAAATCATGAATATTACAAATTGGACTAAGTGAATTTAAAGCCAAGGTGCATTATACAATAGATAATAATTATAATAAAGATTTTATAATAAATGGTATATATAGGTATCTACCTATAGAATTTTAATTAATACGATATACGTGAGTCCTCTTATATTGAAAGTAGATGTTTTACGTGAGTTCGCCTGTTTTTTGATGCAAAAGATAGCTTATACAATCTTGTACGTCACACGACCTATCTTCACACCAAATTACATTAGGATTCGTCGTGAAAAAGTCGCCCAAACCGCAGTGAGATGAGGCCTGTCCTATAACAACTAGGTACAGGGCGGGCCATCGCCGTCACAGTCGTGGTAGAATGTACGTACATACGAAAGCCCTGACTCCAGCACTGGCGATTGCAAGTATACAGTGGGTACAAATTCCACACTCCACCTTGCCAGCTCTCCAGCGGGGTCTTTGCAAGTCCAAGAAGACACAAGTTTGCGTGTTTACCGCTAAAAAGAGTCCATTTATCGTGTCTCCTCAGTTTCAAGACACTCTCCTTGATTTGAAGCCAAATCTCGAGGTCCTTGGCGTTGATATATCCAGTGACGTTCAATTTTGCGGTCATTTGGAGGACAAGGCTAAAATAGCCTCTAAAAAGCTTGGTATGCTCAGTAGAGTGAGACGGTATTTCACGGCGGCCCATCGCTTGCAATTATACAAGGCGCAGATCCGGCCGCACATGGAATACTGTTCTCATCTCTGGGCGGGAGCACCACAATACCAGCTACTTCCATTTAACCCGATCAGAACCGAGCAGCCAGAATAATTGCTAATCAACGTCTATGTGACATACTCGACCCATTGGCTTTGCGGCGAGATATTGCATCTCTGTGCATTTTCTACCGCATATATCACGGGGAGTGTTCTGAGGAATTGTTCGGATTAATACCAGCTGCTGAGTTTCACCACCGTACCATCCGCCAGAAACTGAAATACCATCCTGATCATCTGGATGAATGGCGGTCCTCCACAGTGCGGTTTTCTAGAAACTTTTTGCCACGCACAACCACATTGTGGAATCACTTTCCAGCAATGGTATTTCCGAACCGATACGATATTGAAACCTTCAAGAAAAGAGCTTATTCCTTTTTAAAAGGCCGACAACGTATTTGCAATTCCCCTGGTGTTGCGGGTGCTCATGGGCGGCGGTAATCACTTACCATCAGGTGAACCGCATGCTTGTTTGTCCCGTATTATACAAGAAAAAATCTTTTCTACACGTTAAAAAAAAGTTTATAATCCAATAGCGTAAATATGACCGTGATATTCAATTCAGTAGTCAGCTCAAGTGGCGTCTATTTCTTTTTCGTCGTAACTGGCACACTGTTTACTTGTCTCTATCCTTTTAACCCTGTTTCTCCATATTATATTGTGTGTTGTCATGTTATACATTTCTCGGTGATGTGAGGTGCAGAAATATTGCAAGTGCAAACCTTCTAAGTATTTTCAACAAGTATGCGATAATGGGAACGTAGGTTGCATTCGGGAAACCTAATAACTGATCTGTATAAAATCAAATTCAAATTCAAAAATTATTTATTCATGTAGGACATTTTAGCCGCTTACGAACATTATAATTTTACCATTCCGTCCAGTTCAGTGTATAGATCTAATTGAGAAGAACTGGCAAGAAACTCATTTGATTTTTTTTTTTTAAAATAAACAGTTTCATTATTAATGTATATTTATATAGGTGTCTATGTCTAACATTAAATGAAAATCCAGTGCATGAACAACTATTGCCGCGCACGCTCGTCATTCAAATAATCGTTTAGTGAGTAATAGGCTTTGCTCAGTAAAAATATATAAAATATATAAGCAGCCTGTAGAAAAGTGTATTAGTCATATATAGAAAGAACAAAACAGTGATATTTCATTCATTTATTTTACGCTCATTATGTAACATATGCAATTGAAATACCTTCCATATATATAAAATACATTTATATTAAACAAGATTGCTAGTAGAAAAGTCCCAATATATGGAATAGGCTAATTGGTATAAATTATTGAATCCAGCAGATATGATATCAATGCAATATTATAATTACGCTGGACGTCACTTTTATTTCTGCAGTTTTGTCTGTGGATCGAAACCGAATTGCTTCTAGCAATGTCACAGAATCAAATGTATTTTATACAGAAAGAGTTTTAATTACTTCACGATATTATTATATACAATATTTAATGTCTGAATTCTTAACCCTTGCTGTACAAAAATTTCAAACAGCTCTCATTTAATGCTTATGTTCTATTTTGTAAAAAAATTTTATTCATGTTTCGTCCAAAATAAACAATTAAGAGAAAATGTTTAGATTTTACTTTTTACCTTTTTATTTTAAAATTACAATTTTTGTAATTTTAAAATAAATTTACAATTTTACAATCGGCGAGTATTATATAAGAGTAAAAGTTGCAATCAATCTTATGGGACCAGTATCATCTTTGAGATCTTGTACCATCACTAAAAACTACAAGAATTTAATATTTGTAACAATTTTTTTATTTTATAATAATTTACAATGCTATCAGAACATTAATACAGTGTAAGGTAAGTAAGCTAAGAAAAAGATGTATTTATTTATATAAGTAAATTCATCAATAATACTTTAATTATAATGTTCATAGTTTTATTAACTATGAACATTATATTTAACTAAGTAACTAGCGTCATCCGGTCATAACGACATGAGTGACATCGTATGGGTACTTTTGTCATTCCATCCCTGGAGGCAGTGGCTCTAGCGGGTTCATCGGTGGAGTATACTGGGCATCCTGTTGAAATAAAACAATTATTTCATTTATGATTTCTTCCTATATGGTGGTAGGCTTCACATATAAAATTACAACTTTTTATGAAAGGAGTACCAGCCACTTCTAGTCAAAACTGAAAAACTATAAAGGAAACAGCTTAGATTTTGACAAGATTTACTTTTTATTCTTTTAGAACAGAGAAGATTTCCATTGGAAGATGTTATGCCTGTCATGTAATGTCACTGCCAAATCTGTATCCTATAACTAAAACGCATAGCAAACTTGACGTAACAGATATGTGAGACTGAGTTCCCCACGTAGAAGACTTTTTAGTCTACCTTTGGTTAATATTTAGGTACCTGATGTAATAGAGCAGCGAGGTGTGGCGGTAAAGGTGGCGGCAGCTTAGCCACGTGAGCACGCAGCGGCTGTAGCGCTGTCGGGATTGAGGAGAGGGCTATTTGCAGCGCTCGTGGCGGTAGTACAGAGAGCAGGGTGCACGAGCCGGGCAACAGACGTGTACAGCACTTGATCCAGCCTTCCCAAGCCACTTTGTTCGTCCACACCTGTAACAGTCCCATAAAAAACATGTGAGATCTACCCATGGAATAAATTCGTAATATCATGACGAAACAAAAAGTACAAAATATATTGTATATATAATAATCTTTATTATGGTAGACAGACAGATAAATTATTTATTTATTAATTACAAACACATAGAGTACATGACATTAAGAAAAAATAAATTGTACAAATATTTATGGTAGATTTTTATCCCATGTTATGTTATATTATTTATTTAGTGGTCCAAAGGGGTGATTAAAATGATTTTTAATAAATATGCCAACTATTATTTAATTAATTAATAAAGTAACAGAGGTCATTACATGATGTTTGACAAATTGTTGTCATTTTATTTATCATCAATATATATAAAGTACAAACATGTTTTCATATTTGTAGTTTATAAAATATGTTTTATGTACGAAATTACTCTACAGCGACTTATATGACCCTCTAATAATTTTTTTATTGAATGATATTTCTATACATTTTTAGTGCATAATGAAGTTTTGTTATGCTATGTTTTATAAATTTTCTATAAAAGTAAAAAAAGGTTATGTATGGTATTGATTTTTAAAATATAATCAACAAGCTAATTAGCAGCTATTAAGTGTTACTGATAGTCGGGAAGTATGTTAATTAATTTGTATGTCTTTATAATGAATATTATCACTATTATCATATTGACCTCTTTCTCTATGAGGAGTTGGAGCACGTTGACCACAAGTGGTTCCAAGCCCGGGTACAGGGTGAGTCCCTGCAGTACGCTGCGCATCATCAACACCGGAATTTCAGGTTCTTCACTCAACCGTTGTAGTACAGCCGCTATTACCTTTTTGAAGAATAAATTCATTATCATTATTTATCTGTCCTTCTGTTTGTAATCTCGTGAAACGGCTGGACTGATTTTGACGGAGCTCTCAGATATTAGTAGCGTAATGTGGACTAATAACACCATTGCTAGCAATGTACCATATCAGGTTGATTGACCTCCACACGATCCCCCTTAGAAACCATCGTGAATAAATTCCTGATGAGTTTACCACGATGGAGCTAACTGACCTGAATTCACGATCATTATGTCATCCTCCACTGGTGTCCCGCCAGTGTAAAACGTTAACGCTGGCGGGTGCACCATTCCATTATCATCAATAAGAAAAAAATATATAATAATATCCCTAGACAATTCACACAATATTATAAGTACTTAGGCTATTTTTATTTTAGATATATTGTTCATTTTAATAAATAAAAAAATAAAATTCCATGCGCACGAAGTCGTGGTAAATGACTACTAAGAAATAAAATCATTAATATTTTTGTACAATATGTAGATATATTTATCACTTACGTCTTGTGTGTATATAAGTTTCTCAGCAAAGCACAGTGCGGTCGCCTTTATGATGTATTTCAGATCCGCTTTGTTGGGGTCTATTAAATGTAGTTCTATAAGTAACTCGGCGGGCGTGACTGCAAATAAACACATAGAAAATGTTATCGCCTGATCATATTAGATTAGAATAGGTTACATTGGAAATTAACTATATAATGAATCTGAATAACTGTCATTTGGGATAAGTCCGCCATTGTACAATTTATTTTTATGATCATTGCATTGTGTGTATTTAAATGTTTTTACTGAACAACAAACAAACAAATA